AGGGCCCGCCCGCGCACGCACGCGCGCACACGCACACACACACACACACACACATTTTCAAGTTAGTAATTCCCGCAGCTATCTGCAAAGATTATTTTAACAATTCACTGACTTCACATGCAATTCATTTATTGATGTCCAGCCCACATACAAACACGCATTTTAATATGCAATCCAGCTCAATAAACAACACTTTACTCCAACTTGACTCAATCCAACACCAGCTACAATCACACAAAGACAAAGACCTCACAGCCTCCACTCAGAACAGGTAAAAATGGTTCAAGAGCAGAGCGCTTTGTTAAACACAATAAGTACACATGTTTAAAGGGTATCCCTAAAACCCTGCTGCAGCCTGTGACATGTGAGAAAGTATTAATATGATTTCACACATAAGGAAAATCTAGCACTAGCACTGGAGGGGGCAATATTGACACAGCAAAGTAAAGAGGTGCAATACTAACAGACTGCAATGACATTAGGGTTTAGTCTGGCAAAAACACAAGCAGAAGAAATATGCTTTTACAACACTGCCCCCCTCTGTTGAAGGCTGTAACTGCAACTCAACACATTTTCACTGTGGACATTTTGCACCACCTGAACATCAAAGGGTTTTGCTCAAAGGATCTGTGAGCCCTTTCATACCGATTATTCTTATGATATAACCAATCCCTGTAAAAAGTCTGAGGGGAAAGCTAGCTTTTGATTTCACTCTGTCAGGAGCAGATGTAGATGTCCATAATACTCCTATTCAGAAAAAAAAATAGCATCTGGAAAACATTAAGGGAGCGATGGGAGTGTGTGCATAGTAAGCATGATTTGGTTCGAAATTAGCAATCTGAAAAAGTAGACTGTGTCTCCAGCAGTGGTTTTTTAAATGGCCACTCAGTGAAAGAGGCACAATATGGATGAGATTAAGTGAGACTTCAAGCCTTCTGCGGTGTAAAGGGGTCACTTTCAACATTAAGCTCTGAACATAATCTCTTCCTTTCCCCATTTTTGCTCCAGGAACTCATCATGGAGTGTGAGTGCCCACACTCAGGGAGAGATACAGGTGATGGCAGATAGGGAAGACAAGGACTCTGACTTGCTTATTTCCAGCAATGTCATAAATCAAGATGGGACTCGCTATTGTGCTATTTTCTCTTTTTTTGCTCTGTTTCTTGCTCCCTATCTCTGCTCCCTCCGTCTTGCTTTCCTTCATAGATGTATGCCATCTCATATCCCGTCAATAACCTGTTAATGGGCTCTGGCAGTCAGATAATAGTGCCGGCTGAAGAACGGTGGGCAGATAAGGACAAGCTTCTGGCTTACGAGCCTGAGAGACAGAGAGCCTTTGATGAGCAGGAGGCTGGAGATGGATGAGGGAGGGGTCAGGCGGTGCACGAGGAAGTGTCGCAAGGTAGCAGGAGGGTCATGGGGTCAGATCTGACTTGAGTGCAGCCATTTTCTCATAATGGCAGGCAACGTACATTATAGCCTTCATTACGGAGGAGCTGGGAAGAGTTGATGAGAAAGACAAAGAGGATTTTTTTCCTGATCCCTCTGATGAGCCAGGTGTTTTCCATCTGCTCGCTTATGAAAGGATTTTTTTTTAGCTCTTTCACAGGTTCATATCCTTTGCTGAATCATGGTTTCATGCACCAAGGAGTGATGCGAGGTTAAGCAAGGGTCAGTTTGTCGCCAGCTGTGCGTTGTCTCCATGACAGAGCCCCTGTGGCTGACATCACCACCGTCACGTCACCAAGGCAACACCCTGGAGGCGGGTGTCTCCCTGTGTCAGCTGCTGCGTTGCTTTCTCAGCAAGTCAGTAGCTGTGATGCTTTCCAAGCACAGATCAGCATCCATTCAACCCATTCATCACAGCCCACTAGGCACACAACAGACCCACATATGGCTCCAGGCCCCTCTTCCCCTCCAGAACTGCCATCTCGGCATATTAACCGTATCAATTTTTTAACGATCCCACAAGGCAGCATTTTTAGGACTTGTTGAAATAATCATGAGGTGCTTGTTGGGTAATGCACTCTGTTTCAATGATCACACTGTGAGAAAAGAAGAGCTGGGAAACGGTGAGACGAAGGCAAGCCAACAGAGACTGGTCATTATGTATGCATTGCAGCGAAACCAATCTTTGTTGAGCCTGTCCTCGATTGTTTTTAAAAGGATACTTCACTGGACGCAATCAAATTAGCAAGAACATCACTGATATGGGGTAATAACCCTAAATTGAATTTCTGCACAGGCTAAAGTGTCCCCTCTCTGCAGAATCAATTGCTGTGAAGAGAAAAGGAGGACAGGAAGAGGGCATTCATAGTTAGCAGACCTTTAAAAAGTACACCAGAGATGCAGGCATGAGCGGGCTATTTTCACGCTCCGGAGCCCTGCCATAATGTGTGCCTACCGACTACTATGCTAGATGCAAATCTATCCAATTATGCTAATTAATTTGAATTACCTTACAGCTCCCATCACTGAGAGGGAAATCGGGTCAGCTTTCCATTTCTGCAATACAATTCTCTTTCATTGTTTGGGTGCTAAGTGCAGCACACAGCGAGCTCTGGCAGCCTAGTGGCTGTGCTAACTGAACAGAGAGTATGACAACAACAAGCAATTAGCTAGACAGCCTCCTGTTAGCTCTGCCACTGGCTGACACTCCCATGTGCTGTGCTGGAGTGAGCCAAGGATGTTACTGTACTCGGCTACTGTTGCAGCTCAGTCATTACTGTACATATACATTGACATGTCATGCATTTTGCTGACATTTATAACCACAATTGGTCGTAATGAGGGCGGTAAAAATAAACCTGAGCGACCGGTGGGGTCAAGGGTCAAAGCCAGACTGGGCTGGAGTAGCTGATTTTTCTTGCTCCTGCTTCCTCAATGGTGCATTTAAGCACAAAAACAACAATGCCTTACAGACAAGCGATTCACTGCTGCAGTGACACAACAGCTGTGCAGTGCTGTATGAGTAACGTCAGGGAGAGGTTTCACACAGAATGATCCATCATCTGACTACTGAGTCAGGATACAGCTGGGAGCTACAGAGACAATGTTACTGCGTTGGGATGACAGTGTTGTCATGTGCTGCTGTCCTAGTGTTTTTCTTCCACAAATACTGCTCTCACGATAGGAAGTGTGTTGGCAGAGACCACAAAGTGTAATCATGTCTACTGATATAGGCACTTGCAGGAGTTATCGAGCAACGACACGGCTGAATACAAGGAAGATTACAGCCAGTAATCCCAGCGAGGGACCTGGAGACCTAGGAGACCCTGAATCATATCGACACAGACACGCACACACACACACACAGCTAGTCACATAATTACACAAGTCTGTGGGCTTTCTGTTTGGGTGACCAACAGAAGCAAAACATGGCTGTTTATAAATCAAAGGCAACCAAAGTGACCTTTAATTAGTTACCCAGATAATTACTGTTGTCCCATACTAGTAAAAAATAGAAAGACTGTGCTTTCATTAGTCAGCCCACAATGTTATCAAGCACACACCACTGCACTCAATATATTAATCAATACAGAATAAAAAATTGCATCAGTTTGAATCTGTATTGCTCTGGAGTGCACCTGCATTTCTTTGAAGCTGTTGGCACAGTCAAACTTTCTAATATTACATAAGCTCTACAAAGCATGCAGTGTTTTTGTATCATCATACATCATTACATGTGCAGACTATAGAATCAAACTAGACTCCAACTAATTCACTTAGTGCTTCAGTTAGCAGAGAGAAACTGAATCATTGTGTGTGCTACAATAGCCCATTACCCGTGAGTTAAAGAGCTCCATCAGTGCCCGACACCTCCTCCTCCTCTTCCCTCCCGGTGAGAGGAGCGAGTTAGGCAGTGGATGCCACACAGCCAGTAATGAGCAGGCCGCAGGCCCATTTGTGCTGGGAGAGAATAGGTCCCTAATGAACCACTGAAGACACTTAGGTCCACTGAGTCAAGATTGAAATGTGCCACTGATGGCCGATAGGAGGTTGTGTCAACTCAACCAGAGAGCAGAAAAGGCGAAAAATAGCTCTTTTTAAATGATGGTGTTTTGGACGATAAAAGTTCTTTGTGAACTTTGTGGGTTTGCCAAAGTATGCTGAGTCCATTTCTGACATTCGAAGAAACCTTTCAGAGCTGGATTGCTCGTTCTTCTCCAGGCTATACATTAATATAAAGGAATATCATCCACTATTAATTTACATTATGTGTCAGCCACTCACCCACTGGGGAAAAGGGTGGTGTTACAATATATGCACTGTCGATCCCTCTTTTGACATGCCCAATTCTCTTCTTTTATTCACCGCGTCTTGAGACGTTATCGAGCCTACACAGGCTATTTGTCTCTTTTTTATGATGACACAAGTTTTTCTTCGAGCACCATTTCTACTGAAGAAAAACTTTTGAGTGTGTGAGTTATGAATCCTCAGTTGCAACATCAACCACCACCCTGCTTCCCAGTGTTATAAATATAAGAGGATGACTTGCACACCACACTCCCTGAGTCACAGCAGAAAAAAAATGCACTTCTAGCACTTTTCATGGAGGGCCTCACCCTAGCCCCAAGCTCTATTCCTCACCTGTCTGGAAAAGGTCAAAACTATTCTGTTTTACAAGCTGAATTATTTTAAAAAAAAATATATAAAAAACACACTACCATATCATAGAGCTGTAACCCTGTAAAAATTCAACTTAAAAATGAAAAATGTCTTTCTACTCCCTGAGGCAGGACGTCTGTATAAATAAGAATATGTTCTTGGTCAACTTGTCTGGGTGGATGAGAGTTTAAACGGGGAGGGTTTATAACTTTCAAACTATTGGCACATTATTTTTGGGAGTAGCCTCATTTGAACTGTTGTTTTGCCCACTGAAGCCTTTGAAGGGGAAAGACTAATAGGCCCTGCAGGGCGTATTGTTTAACAGGCAGTGGCATTTCCCACTGCGGTGACTCTAATCTAATGGCCAGGGCATGGACAAGGGCGACACCCACCCATAGCTTGGATGGCCAGCATTGCGGACAGCAGGAGGGACAGCATCGTCTTCCAGGGTGGATTTGAACCGCGGGTCAGTTTCTTCAGACACAGCGCTGCGGGGGAAAAAAACACAGACATCTGAGAAGGAGGCAGACTGTAGTAACACAGAACACGACAGGGCGGCAGAATGAAATGATGTGTGGACACGAAGGGTGATTAAGAAGTGACAGAAACAGAGAGGGGTGTCTTCTATGTGGGTGGAGTTTGAGACAATGATAAAGCCAACATTTTTCATGAAGTGCAGACTATTCGTAAGTCTGGAATTATTTTTCATGACTCACAAACTCACAGAAATTATGTCTGAAGGTGATTACTTCAGTCTTTTCTCTGGCCTGCTCAGGGCTTGTCTCTTTTATAAAGAAAGGAGCTGTGATGACAAATGGGGACTTCCAAAGTTGACGGGAAGCAGCCCAGTCATTCTCTCTGCTTTCCGGAGGGAAAACACTACTTTAAGAGTGAGCAGAGACAGACAAAACTATCCCCTCCCCAACCACTACCACTCTACCAGGTATTAAATATTTAGGAGATATTATTCTTGCAGAGATTGGTAGAGGTCACTGTATGTGTCTGTATTTTTACTTGTAGTACTTTGTATTTTAGATCCAACTGGAGTTACTTCTTTTTTCATTGATATGAAGTCATTGTTTTACAGTCGCCAACAGCACAACAGTTAACCTAAAAAAGATAATTCACTGTACTGGATGAATGAATGCAAAACTTTTAAGTAGATTTTAAAGCTCCTCATGACCACATGAACAAATGAGTCTCACACTTCATGTTTCACTGAAGTGAATGAAACCAGAAGCTTTGTGGTTGTAAGACAGAAACAATCAGCAATCTAAATAAACACTGTTGAATACTTTAGGTAACACCTGATTTTAAAACAAAAGAGTTTACATTCTGTAGACTATGGCTATGTTTTCCACATATGTGTCTGTGCATAAATAATACTAAACTCGAGAGGCACACTGTGCATGGATGGATGAACAGCACAAAAATAAATAGAGGAAGTAAAAACCAGAGAAAGGAAGAGAGAAGGAGGGGGTTCTATTATAACACAGGCATACTCAGCATTTTAAATATTCAGAAAACAGGTTATTTCTCATTCTAACCCCACTAAAAATACATCTGGAAAGATTCTATGACCATTTAAGTCATTGGACATCTTCTCCAGATATCGTCACTGTGTTAGAATGTGCGAGACATATCCTTAAGCAAAAAGCATGCGAGCAACAATCCACCAACAGACATAAACCATTTGGTTTCCTGTCAATAACTGCTTTAGTGTGTCATCATGTCTTAGCACAAGAGCACATGGGTCTGCTTTCTTTCTGTTTCTTTATACTCATTTCCCTGTGGCAAGTAATCCATGTCCTCCTGTCTGCGACTTCTCTCAATTCCTCTGTAAATACCCGGGAGGCCTGAGAGTGTGAAAGCTAGATGAGGAATATTATGGTTGCTTTTTTTGAGTTTTCATCTTTTAAACTATCCTGATGGCAGAAAAATTGGACAATTCTGGTGCAGACTGCGTGTTGTTTTCAGACCATTCATTTCAGAGTCCAGCGTCCCTGGGTGAGATTGGGTGTTTATTAGAGGGGTGCTTTGCTCTCATTCACAGTGTCTTTTTTGATACAACCACTGGGAGTCACCAAATGTTAAATCCCATACATACAAATGGGAAAAATGAAGTAGAGCTAAACATACAGCATCTTTAGGCTGGTGTAGTGGTTGCTCAGTGTTACACACAGGAGTGACTTGTGAACCACATGTCAGCAAGACAAGAGCCAGGTATCTTTGATGGTGGGTCAATCAGGTAGCAAAATATCCATTAAATACAAAAATCCACTCCACTTTTTGTTCAAGAATTGTTTTAACAGTCATCCAGAGACTTCAGCAGTTCTATTTTGACCATGTCTACAGTAACATACTGAAATCCTGCCTTTGTGTGAAAATGTTTTCTGTCCAAACCAGTGCTTTTAAAACTTTTAAGACATTTCTACATTCTTAAAAAGTGCTACATCCACAGTGAAGTATTAATAACAGTATCTTATCTTCTCCCTCCCTCCCTTTTTTAGTTCAAGACACAGCACAATGGTGCATTACCTCCGCTATTGTCATAAGTATGGCTGAACGAGTTTTAGTTTGGCAGCACAACGTTCCATTTTCATCCCTATAATCTTTGTGATCGTACAATGCTGTCACTAAGGTGCTTTCAAATTAATTAGTTAATACATTCATAAATTATTTTTTATATATAATATTTGCAGACCACTTACCATAACTGCTATTATTGTTTAAGATTGTATTTCAGTCAAAAAATGACACCAGGGATTGTTTTGGCACACAGTTTCCAAGCGACTGAAAATTGTGTCCCCTTTTCAATTCATTCTGTCAAGAATCGATTTTTAATTGAATCAAATCAGACACCAAAGAATCAGAATCAAATTAAATCACAAGGTTCCCAAAGATTCCAACCTTGATGTGACTTAAACATATTTTTCTGCCTCTGCTGTTACGGGAACTGCCCATTGGTCCGACATCCCATTGTTCCAACCGTATTAAACCCATTGTTCCGAAGTCCATTCCGAAATCATCATAATGCCCTGTGGTTAATGTCTGGTTAGGTTTAGGCACAAAAACCACTTGGTTAGGGTCAGGAAAAGATCATGGTGTGGGTTAAAATGAAAAAGAAAGTGACAAACACATAAGCCGTGAGCCTGCTTCGCCTCAAGCCTTTCCCAGCTGACCCAGAGCTGGTCGCAGCGCACCATCAAGGCAGAAATACGCCCGCCGGGAGCCGTTCAGCACCGCGGACCGTCGGACTAATGGGATGTCGGACCAATGACATGGACCCGCTGTTACAACTGCATTTAAGACCAATAATAGTGTTAAATGTTGTTGTTTGACAACAGCAACAGAAAATATTAATACAAAAATACCAATATCACCTATTAAACATCTAGCAAAGAGATAGCTTACAGTTTTCCATATCCACACTATCATTATTTCATGTATCCACTATTAATATAGTGAAATGTTATGGTGAGTCACTAAATGTCTACACAAATCTACAATTAAAACTCCACTTTCAACTCCACCAATTAAGTTGTATTTTCAGCTCACTTTGTCTGTTGGTTTGTTTGTTTGTCAGCAGGCTTGCGGAAAAACTACTGACCCCATTTTCGTGAAGGGTGTAGCATGGGCCAAGGAAGCCAACCCATTAAATTCTTGAGTGGTATTGCATTTGGCCATGCCCAAATAGCCAATTAAAGAAATACAATGACTCCTGGTACAAGAAATCCTCTGGGGCAGCCCGCAAATGTAGGTGCTCAAACTTCACACAGAAATCAGTCAGTATGGAGCACTCATTTGACATGATTGTAATAGTTTTGGGAATATATCCAGACATATCTCGAGGTTGCGCTTACAGATTTGCATATCACAGAAGGACTATCAGCCTTGGTGGAAGTCTCCCTCTACCAAGTTCCCTTTTAGTTTTAATATGTTTTGGACATATAGAAATACAATTGTCTTGGAGAAGGAAGCTGACAGATCTGTTGTGATGTTTTGATACTACGAATGTATGTATCAGTATTGCCGTCAGCTGTAGCCCCACCTTACGCCAGACTGAAACGTTTTCCATGAGGCTCCATTTATGGTTTCAGCAGAGAGGATGTGGGCAGGAGTGCAGCTTCATCACTAAGTTTCCATAACAGCACACTCACCATTTGCTCTCTGGACTTTCAGAAGGCATTAGCCTGCCAGAGACCAGCTCAAAAGAGACACTTGTAACACTATCTCAAATTCCTAAGATATGTACCCTCAGAGGCAGAGAATATGGGTTATTCACTGCATTTGAAAATGGAGAAAAGACCAGACACATATCACAGCCATCCTCTCCAAAAGGGCAAGAGTTCTGTAAAAATATCTCTAAGTTCTCTAAAGGATAGCCTGAACTTTAATGTGCCAACACACCAAGCCACAGTCTGACTCTGTCTGTGCCGTCCAGACACCAGGAAGCCATCAAAGGGTTTTATATTGTATGACTCAAGTACTTCACCGACCCCATGCCAGCATGCAAATGCTTTTTTCCTCTTTTCATTTTATGATTTAACTTTAACAATTCAGTTCAATGTCAGAGATCTAAAACATGCTGACCACACTCGCGAGTCACTAAAGAATATAATGACACAATAAACTTCAACTGTAAAAGGTTGTATTTTAAAAACACTATTTTATCCATCACTATATTACACCAATGTATCAAAACTATTGCTGGCTCTTTATTCACATTCCAATACTGTTCATGGAATTAACTAATAATGGTGCTCTCTGAATTGAAGACCATTAAAATGGAAAAGAAATGGTCACTGAAAGACTGCCTGACAGTCTGAATGTCTTGAATTTCCTTTAGTGATTGGTCGGCAGCTTTTGAGCCATAATCACCAGTGTATTTCATTTTGACACTGCGCTAAGGATTATTAAGCTTCCTACTGAGGTCAAAGGAAAGAGAAATGATTCCTGAAGTATCACAGAACATTAAGATTTAGTATTTCACCATGGTCACTGTACCATTGCGGTATTCTTTCGAGAAATCTGTGACAGTGGTTCTCTAACAGTTTGTCTTTTTCTTTTCTTGAGTCCACTCTTCTCCTGGATGACAAGGCCATTCTTAAACACTATTAATATAATGAATCTGACTGACCTTCTGGGCTCAAATGTCTCATTGGCATATGGCTGGCATCATTGCCAAGCTCCTCAAACCATTGGGAACCACTCAACCCTTGATGATAGGAACATTTCCAACCTGGACGCCACCGTACCCATCGAGGACCGCATCATGGGATGAGCCTTTCAGAATCCATATGGCAGCAGTGGTGTGAATTTAGCAAACCCTTTTAAGGGATGACTGGATTCACTTTGTGCAGGGAAATGTTCTCCATAGTAGTTGAGTTAATTAGTGCATTACATGGTCATATCATACATTAGCTCTTCAAACTGAAGAAAGAGGCGCTCCATAAACTTCAATAAAGCATTGTGGCTCAGATGTCGTATGGAAGTTTATTTGCCAACTTTCTTTGTAAGTACTGAAACTCGAATTTACCGTTCACACTAGGCCATGCATCAGTGTCATACAGCAGTCCAATAATAGGCAAGCAGATGCAGTACTAGACTGTATATTTTTATCTCACTGATAATTAGCAACTGAGGCAGTGAGAACTGTTGTGTCTCTCAAGACGAGATAAGTGAATAGGATCAGTGTGCAGTGTGACAGATATTCTAACACCCTACTTTTGTAAAGTCACAGGAGCCGGTTTAATATAACCTTTATCTTATGGCAGCTTGGCATAGTGTAATAATATGGAGCTGAAATAAAACTACGAACTGCCAAACTGTCACATCCATCCCTGGCAACAACAACAAAAAAAGACAGCAGAGCATGTTGCACCATGTCACATAACATCATTATCTCTCCATTTTATCACACATCATTTCCTACACAAGTCAGAGTATTAAAAACTACATCCTCCTACATTCCAAAGGAAGCTGTACCTGCCAGCAGCGCACAGCTGCACTATCATGTGACAACAACACCATGAGGCCAGGCAACATCCTCACTGCAGCCCAAAATACAGCATCTAGTGGTTCTGAATTTTTTCTGCAGGGAACAAGTCTGGGGGTATATAGGCATAGTTCAGTGTAGCAGGAATATGTGTTTTTTTCTTTCACTTTTCTATCCTGCTAATTTACTGACCCCTCAGATTTGTCTTGTTACTCCCTTATTGGGTCTTGAGCCTCAGGTTGGGAATCACTGTGACCTAACCTATCCTGATACAGTTCATTTCATCTGTAGAGAGAGCAAGAGAGAGGAAAAAGAATAAGAAAACATACATAGGGTATACATTAAAAGTCCAGTGTGTAGGATTTAGAGGAATATATTGGCATAAATGGAATATAATAAAATAAGTATTGTTTTTTACTGTATTTTCGCCAGAACATAGATGGTGTTGTCTTTTTTACAACACAACATAGGAAGCAGGTCCTTGTCTAAGATGACCATGTTGCACTGCCATGTTTCTACAGTAGCCCAGAATAGACAAACTGAACACTGGCTCTAGATAGGGTCATTCAAGTTTTCACTTCGGCCACTGTAGTTAGCAAGGGCAATGAAAAAAAACCCACTAATTTTTTAATGTGGAAACTGCTTTATTCAGTGTTTTACTGGTTAAATTACTGGTTCCATTTGTCTTGGTGAGGAAGAGACCTATATGGATAATTTGGCTCCCAGTAAAAAAAAAAACCTCAAGAACATCCTAACCTTAAGTTATTAGAGAAGAAAGGGTGAGCACAGATTAGCAGCTGCAAAGCTAGCAAGCTGTCTCTGGCATGCCAAAAAGTGTTGGAAAAACACTGTTTTTGTAAGGTGAAACTGATTTATTCAGTGTTTTTGCCAGTTTAAACCACCAGGTCCATTTGTTTTGGAGAGGAGGAAACCTGCGCGGATAATTCAGCTCCTGGGAAAAACCTTCTTAGCAATTAATTTGACCTTTTATTTCTTTTTTCGCCTCAGTCATTTACTGTAAATCTGTATCCTTTATCATATTTTGTATTATACTGCTCTGTAAAGCACTTTGAATTGTATATATATAAATACAGCTGCTTGCCTTCTGAACATCTGGATTTTAAATGATCAGAAATGAGGTACACAGATTAGCAGGTGCTAAGCTAGCAGGTGAACAGATTTTTTTTTAACACGAAACTGCTTTATTCAGTGTTTTTGCCATTTTAAATTACCTGGTTATTTTGTTTTGGAGACACTTCTGTGAATAATTTGGCTCCTGGTAAAAACCTCCTGAACAAAGAACACTGTAGAAATTCTAACCAGGAGAAGTTTTAGCTGATTGACATCTGTTAGCCTCGCTGCTAGGTGCCACAAAATCCTCCAAAACCTTACACACTGGACCTTTAAGTGATTTTTCTTTCTCAGGTAATTAGGGCTGCCACGATTAGTCGGCTAATCGATGACTAATCGACTATAAAAATAATCGGTGACTATTTTAGTAGTTGACTAATCGGTTTGAGTCATTTTTCATAAAAAAGTAATTTAAAAGTACCCCAAAATACTCTAACTGCAGCTTCTTACGTTCAGATATTGGCAGCTTTACACACTCTCCCGAGACAGTGAACTAAAACCTTTTGGCGTGAATATGAAACAAGACATTAGATGACGTAATTTTGGGGTTTGGGCGAGACAGGCCGACATTTTTCAACATTTTAACACATTTTTCGATGATATTATTAGTCGACTAATCGAAGAAATAATCGACAGATTAGTCGACAATGAAAATAATCGTTAGTGGCAGCCCTACAGGTAATACAAGTCCATACATAGGACTACATTTGAGTGAGGATTTATTAACAAATTTTAGAAAATGGCAGACATATGACCAGTGCAAACCTGTGAATAAACTGCGTCACTTGCCAGTAAATGAAAACCCATAAGTGTTCCTTTAATGTCCCCATTTTGAGTCATGGAAGTTTGCACTGATGCAGTGTTGTCTTTTGGTCAAATGGGGGCGCAGTCCATTTCATTCATAGATGTCGCCCGCTCCATCTGTGTAACTGTACACTGTATAACTTAGCAGGCCTCTGTCTTGCTTTAAAACTACAAAAAATAGCAGACATGACATGGAGCCAGCGAATAATGCCAACTATGTGAACCACTTACCCTACCCTGAGTTCATGGGGTTCTCCTGATCCCCGCCAGCTGTTGCTCGTTAGAGAATAACCCGAGTTTACAGTTATCTTTTTCATTAGCTCACATTAAGATAACCCTTCTGTTAGCTCGAGCTCTGCTTTCAAACACAATTTCTCAGGGCTTACCATGTTAGGAGGGCGAAACTTTGAAAGCACCAACCATCCAGCGGCGGTGACTCTTTCCTGTGAGCAGCAGCACAGCCGATGTTATTTTCCAGAGTAGTTCATTCCCCTCTCAACAAAGCACTGCTGGAACTGCCGCCGAAGCGATAACAGTTTGTTTTGACGGTGGATAAAGCTGTAAGATGTGTTTTCAGGGTGTGTGGGTATGGTCCATTGATTTGGGACGGTTCTCTTCACAGAAACCACTCCTTGCTGCTTTGTCCAGCAGTGATGTCATACCGAGGGGAGAAGGGAGTCTTGAGAGTCCCGACCTTCAGGTTAACCATTTGTGAACACACCGGTGTCTTCCACATGTAATTTACACATACAGTGGAAGTCCTTTTGTCTTAGGACATCCGAAATGACTTTTTATCTTGATACCACATAAGCCGTCTTGATTTATCTTACGGTCCTTAAACGTCTCACTGCGGTTTATGCGGGTTATATGAAGCACAGATTTACCATTCAGACCCTTATACCTAAACATATGCATTTATATAATACTATCTGCGTTGTTTAGCACATATCATCGATTTTTTCAATATGAGATGAAACATTACTCTTTTTAAAATTTGGCATCGGCCTTTTGACTGTAGGTAACACGTATCCTATAGTTTGAAAGCAGAGTTTTTAGTTTGTCTGACCGAATAAGAGAAATGCTGACCATTATTATAAAGCTACTGTCTGGAATCATGTTCGCCCAAGACATTACACAGCTCTGGAAAATCCTGACTATGCAGCAGGAAAATCAATTGGAAACCCGTGGTGTGTGCAGTAAAGGAAAAAGTAGATAACTTCATTTTAAAGAGAAAATAAGCATATATGCGCAGTGTCTGTAATGCTAGGCTCACAGGCTGGTGCGGTGATATACAGTTTTCTCTTTGTCTTGAGGTGTGAGTCGCACGCGAGAGAGATAGAGGAGATTTTAGGAATGCCCGTGGCTAAAAATACAGTGAAGGAGGCAGAGAAGTAAAAGCTCCCTTGTTTGGAAAGGGGAAGTGAACGTGACGCAGACCACGTGACTAAAACCAGGAAGTGATTCGAGTGTCAACAATAAAGGGTGAGTGTGCGATTCTTTTACAAATGGTACAGTTGTCGTGGCGATTCAGTTTGACATTTTTTGGGTTCACATACAGATTGTTCTGGACAAGACACACCACACGAGTGTCTCACATTTAATTTAGCGAATTGGCATGTCTTTTTCTAGCAAAGGCTAAGCAGCTAACCGGGGTTGTGCAGGATTGCTAACTGTCACTGTTCGTATCAAAACCCCCAAAATAAAAATATGAAGGTGAAATATAGAGGGTTTGTCCCGAGTCTCTCCTCTAAAAATGATAATTTCATTCGTCTCACGTTTATTTTATGTAGTAACGTTATTTGGTAATGTACAGAGATAGAAGTAACATTACTTTCCCCGACCTATTTTCAAATTAAAGCGTAGTGAAATTATAATATGATGTTTAAAGCTAGCGTTTAGAAACATCAGGATCACGCCAGTGACTATCAGTTCTGTAGTTGCTGCCCATGCCATCGTGTTAAGACTGTGTTCTGTTTGCTTAAAAGGTAGAGATGACTTCTTCAGACTGGCACCTGTCTCTAAAGCTGGTGGATCAGCCCAAATCCATCTTCCACTTCCCAGAAATGATGCCAGGAGATGTCCCACCTGGAGGATACAGAATCGCTACTTTAAAACAACTTGTTGCAGCACAGATCCCAGACTCCATCCCAGACCCTGAGCTAATAGGTTTGTTACAGCTGTATTGACATGATGAATTAGCTTTGAATGAAATGTGTGTTTGTGTGCAGCAGGAAGATTTCACTCCTCTGGTGTGCAATCTGTTTGGTTAATTATGCTGTCTGTGCATGTTATTTGTCTTTAAAATGTTCTGTATCCCCGCTCTGTATCAGAGCTGGTCCACTGTGGGCGGAAACTTAAGGATGACCTAACTCTGGATGCCTGTGGGATTCAACCTGGATCCACCATACACATCCTCAAAAAGACTTGGCCTGAACCAGAGAGCAGTTCAGGTCCGTCTGTTTGGCATTTAAGTATTGAAATTAATCGTGTTTAAGCTGTACTGTAAGTGAAAGTGAAAGTCTGAATCTGAATCTGAACATGTGCACGTTTTGTCCTATGTAGAGCCTGTGAACAGAGCAACTGCAGCCAGGGAGTTCAGGGTGTTTCATGCTGCTCTTCACTCTCTCAACTCTGCCTACAGAGACTCAGTGAGTAGAAGCCATACACACTGTGGCACACACAGCCCCATATGACAACCCTTTCCCTCCAATTCTCCAAAGAGTTTAAATTATGTTCCAATTTAATGTACTTAGTTTTAGAAAATTATTGTTGGAAAAAAATGGGCATAATGTGTATTATTAACAAATTAACTCATAAAACTAAATTCAAAATGCTTGTTTTTCCATCTACTGCTCATGCTATTTCTCTCTATACAATTTGGACAGTCTTTGATGCAAAATGTCAGGCTTCTGTTACCGCTAAAAGGCAAGGGGTTTAGGTCTTGTGTAAATTAATCATCCTCTGCTGAGAAACATTCAGATCTGACTGCAAAATATATATGGAGTACATCCTGACTGACCTGATGTGATGAGATTTCACTTCTTCTTTTCTCATGTATTTATATCTGTAGGAAAACTGGGACTGTTGCTTAATACAACATGTCCCATTTGCACTTAAATTAGAGAAGAGAGTACATGCCGTTGTAGTGGTCCTCCTCTCTTCAATCCAAACCTTGTTTGAGTTGTCTGACATTGGCAAGTTTGGTAGCTCACTCACACAAAAGAAAAAGTTAAAGGTTAAGTTTGGTATTTTTAAACTGGACCCTATTTTCCAATTTTTTGTATCTAAAGGACTTATGGTAATAACAACCTTTGGAAGTGGTCCAGTATTGAGTGAGAGGGCCTTAGCTGGCTGCAGTGAAACAGGCTCCCATGTGACCACTGGGGCATGTTTGCGTCAATGTATGCCCACTAAAAGTACTCAATTTCTGTCACTGATGGGCTCAGATTGTTATTCTGAGTGTCTGCTAACTTTGGGGAAGCATCCTTAAAGAGGTAGGCCATTTTTTCTAAGAGGAAGTTCCTCTTTGTTTCACCAGAAACAGCCCTAAAATCACCATTGCCAGTTCCACCAGACTCCATTTGAATAAACAGTAATTTTAGCTTGTATAGAGCCAGCTAATTTTCACATCAAACAGGGTGAAATAAGGGTTTATTTGAACCCAACCAGAGTTGGTGATTGTTGCAACGTTGGAAAGACAAACCAAGATGGTGTTTGTGACTTGTGTTTTGTTTCTTTTGACTTTGAATGTGTGTATTTTAAAATGATAAAATTACTGTTTATTTAAATGGAGTCTGGTGGGTTTGACAATAGCAATCTTGGGGCTGTTCCTCTTTAAACAAAAAGGATCATACTCTAACAAAAAGGTATATCTCTGAAGGGATCTTTTCCATAAGTCACCAGACACTTGAAATAATAATCTGAACATGTCAGTGACAAAAACAAGCACTTTTAGTGGACATTAACAGTACAAACATGCCCCATATGGTTACATTTCAGCCTGTTGCACTGCTGCTGGCTACAGCTCTCTCGCTCAATACTGGACCAATTTTAAAAAAAAAAGTTTCTATTCATCATTTATACACAAAAACATGAGAAGATAAGGTCCAGGTTGAAAAATCCTGAACTCACTCTTTAATTAGGTTGTCCTTCACTGCGGAATGCAGGAATGCGTCGGGGTGTTTGTACTGTACTAATTTCTGACACACACATCCTTGACCTGGAAACTATTTGGCTTGTGTGATTGGATTTTTCTCCACAGTCACTTGGGTGCATTCACACCTGTGTTCACAGCTGTTTACCTCTGATTAGATCACCCTCGATGCATTTTACCGTACGTGTGAACAGGACCCTCGGCAGCTACGAACTGGTCAAAGATTGTCCTCAACAGGAACAGGTTTAGCTATTATGGGCTGGCAGCTTTCCATAGCATAAACCTGCCAGACAGTTTGAGAATTCCAGCATGTTGACTCGAGTGATAAAGAGAGAGTTCAGATAGGAATGGGTCTATTTTTCTGACATAAACTGGTATGAGCCACTCACTTGTATTTACACTGATCCATGGATATTTGCACAGATGTGGATGGAGATACTTGTCAGCAGAGGTGTCAACTCGAGTCACAAGAGTTGGACTCGAGTTAGAAAGTTGATGGCTTCAGACTAAAAAAGACTTGCAACTCAACTTGGGTTTTAACAGCACTGACTCATGACGTCACTTGGACTTGAGCCTTTTAACTTGAAAATACTTGACACATTTTTCCAAGCCCAAAGATTAAAATGCATGTCAAAGGTGGTAATGTTGTATATGACATCAGAGTACTCTATTACCAAGATGTACATTAAATTATACACAACAAAATAGGACCAAAGCATACCAGATTTATTCTGTTGTGGTCCTGGTTAACAGTGCTATATGCTATTAAAGACTGTTTTGTGATTAAGTTTAGACGCACTTGTTTCAACCAACTTTTTTTTAACAAATACGTGTAAATTTGAAAAAGAGTATTCATGATTTTTGTTGATTTAATATGATAATGATAATGATAATAATACTAACTTTATTTGTAGAGCACTTTTCAAGCTCAAAGCAAAAAGCGATTTCCAAGGTGAAGAAAATACAAGACAAAAGTGATACTGATAAAACATAAGCATATACATACGCCTACACCAACATATACACATATACAACACATATATTTGTAAGCATGCATACATAAACACTTGGCTGCAAATACATACACTCCCGTACACACATTAAGTCTGTCAACTGTCAGGAAAGGCCAATCCATAAAAGTAATTTTTCAGACGTAAACAGACTCAGCTGATCTTTAACCTGGACCTCTGGGACAGTTAGAAGACCCAGCCCAGCAGACCTGAAGAGCCTGTTTGGGTGATATGGTTTGAGAAGCTCAGTTGTATGCTCCGGTGCCAGATCACTGAGAGCCTTGTATTAATTTTATATACTTTATTAATCCCCCTGAGGGGAAATTCAATTTTTTCACTCTGTTGTCATTAACACACAGGTCTGAAAGACACACACATGCACAAACAGGACCTATACGTGCACAAAGTGGAGAGATGTCAGAGTGAGGGGGCTGCCCTTGGTCAGGCGCCCCGAGCGGTTGGGGGGTTCAGTGCCCTCGGCATGGAGTGTGGACTGGTGGCTGGAGAGGTGCAGTGCCCAGGAGGTGAACTGGCACCTCTCCAGCCACCAGTCCACGAACAGGCGACCCTCCGGTTCCCAACCCAAGTCTCTATGGACTGAGCTACTGCCGCCTGTGATTATAAGAGCTTTAACATGGATTCTAAAAGAGACTGGAAGCCAGTGCAGGGAAGCCAAAATACGTATGATGTGTGAAGATTGTTTTGTTTTGGTCAAAAGTCTAGCTGCAGAATTTTGAACGATTTGGAGCTGATGTACAGCTCGATTGCTCAGGCAGGTGAACAAGGCATTACAGTAATCAAGGCAGGGGGATATAAGAGCGTGTATGATTTTTCTCTGTGTTACTGAGGGACAGAAGTGACCCACATGTAGTGATATTCCTCAGCTGGTAAAAACAAGACTGGAACTACATTCTGTACATCATGACTCTGTTGTTAAAATGACATTACGCTTGGTGGAGAGCACATTATCACTTGTTTAGGACTCAAAGTTTACAACTCAGGACTTGATTGGAACTGCCTGTCTTGACATAACTCAGGACTTGAGTGCAAAGACGTGGGACTTGAGACTTTCAAAACAACTACTTGGTTCCACTTCTGCTTGTCAGCAACACATGGGGGCAGTTGAGAAACACAGCACTCAAACTATGTTTTAACCATCCTCAATGGACTACAGCTTATGTTCTGATCTGTCATGAAAGTATATTATTTGCTGAGTGATACAGAAATGATTCTGAAACAAACAGTAGAATCAAACATGGGTGTAGACCAGATTTATGATGTTGTGGATGGTTGAAAACGTTGAGTGAGGGCATGTATTTCCCTGTCCAGAGGGTCTGTAGATAATGGCTGTACTGTATATCAACTTAACCACCAGTGAGAAAGAGATCCCAACTCATCCCAGCTTAGGTCAAATCTGCACTGCACACTAATCATGTAGGGTCAGTAAGTATTGATTTCTGTCTTACTTGCTGTATTACTGTCTTTTCCCCCACACCTAGGTATATAAAATGCTAACAAATAAAGAGTCTCTGGATCAGATCATCGTGGCCACACCAGGGCTCAGGTCAGACCCAGTCGCCCTCGGTAAGACCTGCTGAGTTTTATTAACAATGTAATGTCATCTCATTGTACCTTGCAAATATGCAAATGGTAACATTTTCCCCAATGCCCTTCGCTCTGCTCAGGGGTGCTCCAAGACAAAGATCTCTTCGTGCAGTTCACAGACCCTAACATGCTGGATGTGTAAGCGCGGCTTTTTCTTTGTTACTGGCATTGATGTGATGCATAGTAAGTGAGCACAGCACAGACACACAAGTGGAAGGTAATTTAAATTCACATCTGTACTTTTCTGTCTGTTTCGCAGATTGATCAGTTCACACCCGGCCCTCGTCAACGCCATCATCCTGGTCCTGCACTCTGTGGCAGGCAGCATGCCCGCTCAGTCCAGTGCCAGCTCGTCTCGTAATGTCTCTGCCAGTTCTTACAGCGATATGCCAGGTGAGCAAGGACGATGACGTAGTAAAACCAGGCAGAATATATGGCACGCAAGAGAGGATCACAAATAGTGATGAAGGATTGCTGTTGACAAGCTCAAGATATTGAAACAGCTGATTTGGCGCAGACAGTAGTTTAATATTTTGATCAAATCCAAAAATAATTACTGGCAGTATCCACCAGTGTTGTCACTATAAATGTACAAATAATTATTTTTATCTGGCAGGGGGCTTTATGTTTGAAGGCATGTCTGACGATGAGGAAGATTTCCAGTCCGTGAGTCACTCTGCTTCATACTCAACATCAGATAACATGTCCAGGAAAGCCCATGATACATGGGGCTATTTCTGTGTGTGTAAATGTGTGTAACAGGGGAGCCCAGCAGGACCCTCAAACAGAGCAGGAGGCTCAGCAGGAATACGACCGGTGTCTCTGAGCCACAGTGGAGCGACAGGCCCTCGACCAATAACACAGAGCGAGCTGGCAACAGCCTTGGCCCTCGCCAGCACCCCTGACAGCAGTGCGGTCACTCCAACGACTTCAAGCACGGTAAGATGTATTTACATTTGGAAAAACATATTTAGACACATGTATATTGTTTTACTACTTAACTAGTGAACCTATGTAGAATTTACTTGAGATTAAAATATGACAAGATATTTGTGTATTGAAAACATGACCTGACAGAAAACCTGGCTACTGTCTTTGATATAGGCGGACCCCTCCAGTGGCGTAGCCCCGATGCCAGCAGGGACCCCAGTCAGTAACGATCTCTTCAGTCAGGCCCTACAGCAAGCTCTGCAAGCCTCTAACATGTCTGCTTTACAGGTGAGGCTGTAAATTCACAGATTAAATCCCTCATGTTAATCCAATGGAGAAAACATACCTTGAAATACTGAATATTTAAATAGTAATTGGCCTGTTTGTCCTTAGTGGTAGAAAAATCCACGAGTCAGAAGTGAAAATGATTGGCGCATTAGACTGTGGTCTGGACTTGGGTTGGTCTTTGGATAAAATCCTCATTCAGTGAATGTGTTTTTGTTTTGCTAGGGCCGCTGGCAGTCCCAGATGCAGCAGCTCAGGGACATGGGGATCCAGGATGAGGAGCTGATGCTGAGGGCGCTGCAGGCCACAGATGGTGACATCCAGGCTGCCCTGGAGCTCATATTTGCTGGAGGCCCAGGACTCTGAGTCAGTACCCCATGGAGGAAGGTGTTTATAGAGGACAGAGAGCAGGAAAAATCTTGACATCCTGCTGCCCAGACATGATATATTCTGGCTTTAGACATACACTATACAGATTTTTTACCCCATTTCAATACAGTATCACATCTGAGCTCCTCAAAGGTCATGACAGCATTTTCTTATTGATGTGAGTGGACTTGTAATAAATTTAAACATGCTTACCTCATCAACTCCTGAGCCGCACTTCCTGTTATTTGATAGGTGGGACTGACTGTAAATGCATTGGTCTAAATTTGCTATTGAACTGAAATGCTGATTTGCAATTATAAGGTCACCTTGTGGCTGCTCAGATTCCATTTCCCTTGTTTGGTTCTTGATGGTACAAACACACAGTGGGATCCAAATTCTGAGACCACACACAAAAATCTCTAATATTTTAATGTAAACCTAGAAATAAACAGAGAATTTGAGGTTTCAGAAACATTTAAAATCACCCAAGTTATGACATGTAAAATGGAAAAGAAATATTTTAAATCCCGCAACATTTGATTTGTTCAATTTAAAGCAAAACTGTGGGATTGACCGATTTAACTCCTTTGTATAAAATGTCAGATTTCCTTGAGATGTATCCCTTTCATTGAAGCATAGGTTCAGATCACACTGGATTTGATGTGATCTACTCATGTGAGGCTCGTTCAAGTCACTCAGCTTGCAGCCAGTGTTCACCTGTTATAAATATGGCTGTGCCTCTAATCTCCAGCAGCTCATTACTCACTGCAGCATTGTGCTAGTGAGAAACATGGCATCAGAACAAAGTGAAAGTGTCAGAAGTCAAATTGTTTTTTTATTCAAAGAGGAGCTTCCTCAGTGTCAGATCATGGCTAGACTAAAGGTCTGTATGAGGGGAGGGCAGTGCATGGAACTCAGACACTTTGCAAGAACTACTTGACTGCCTGTGACTCAGGAGGTAGAGTGGATCATCCACAATCCCCAAGACACTGAACCCCAACCTGCTCCTGATGGCTATGTCATCGGTTTTATGAGTGAATGTGAAGTGGCCACCATAGTATGAATGTGTGTGTGTGAATATGTGACTGTGGCATGTTGTGTTAGAGCACTTTGAGTGGTGAGAAGACTAGAAAGGTCCATTCCATTTCCATGAAGACCAAAGATGATCAAGGAGTCCTGACTGTCATGGAGTTTCCTCAACAGTAACCTGACCTCAAGCCCACCGAACATTTATGGAGGGCACTTGAAAACTGAGTAAGTCAAGAATTCAGTAATATAACGAGAAGCTCTCAAATTATGCTGGGTTAACATGGTTAACATACCAGCTCGAGTTCATACAGTCATTAAAGCAAAAAGGGGGACGTACCAAATACTATGGTGTTCTAAAATTCTTTTTTTTAAAGATTCAACTCTTCACGCAAATGTTAAGCTGATATTGTCATTTGTCATGAAAAACATAGTGTTACAGTTTAAACAAATGCTAATTAGAGAGTATCTTGGTTAGTGGTCTCAGATTTTGGACCCCACTGTGTGTTATCATGTAAGTATTTAGTGGCAGTATTAAAATGTGTGCTCTAAAAAACCATTCTGTATTTACTCACTCTATGTAATTCATGTATTTGTACACTAGATGGCAATGCAGTAGTTTGTTTCTATCCATATGGCTGATTATCATAAGTCACCCTTGCAGACACACTGTTGTTTATTTGCTCTTTCTTTCTTTCCTAAATTTCAAGTCACGCTCTTGAGCTGCCTTCTGCTGAACAGCCTTTGATAAACGCTTGTTTTATTTGTAGTTGTGGGCTTTCATTTCTCACAGAAGGCAATACGCTCAGACAGCCAGAAACATAAAACAGGAAAGTTGCACAGATAAGGTGATGGCTTTATTAACATCCACTGAGATGTTGCTGTGCTTGTCAGAGCATTGTTACCATTAGTTGGGCACCCCCCACCCTGCACCCCCAGCCTTATTACAGAAGGCTACATTTGCTTTGTGTGGTTGTCTCCCATCAGGGTATTTTAGGGGAGGACATATTGCATACCCCCCTCCGCTACCTACCGATCTCCATCTACAGTAATTGCCCTGCTTAGTTTTATTACTGCATCTGTTAATGTGACAGCTCAATCAGTGGATTGCCCTTTCATGAGCACAGCACCCAAACAGCGCTTTGTGTCCGTCTGTCCCCATTACTGTTTTATATGCATGCACACCTGCGGGCAATTTCCACCTCCAACTGCCTCCAAGGGTATTTTAAAAATAAAGCATTTCCACCATGCTGAAGGAAACAGTGTCATAGTTTCAACAAAACAATGGCGAATAAAACTGTCAGTGCCTTTCTAGGAAATTAAAAAGGAGACTGCTTGCCGAGATAAAATAGTGGAGTTTCAAACCAAGCAGGAGTGATGTAGAACAGTTTTGCATTGATTTCCATTTAGACTTGTTGTTTCTCTGTGAAGTCATATGTGTTGCAGCACACATACATCTTTGTTTACTGTGTCTGGTTACTGTATTTATGCATATGCTGCCATCACAAGCCTCCTTACTGCAGCTTTCAGGACATTTGAAACAATTTACTGTGAAATCATGTGAAGTTGTCATGGAGACTACCCGATGGTGTGCGAGATGCCATCACACATATGGTATAGAAAAGCTGTTATTGCACACCACCCTTTTGTTGTCAGCTGTGAGAGCAGTATTGACTACATGTGATCTCTTAGGGCCTTGATATTAAATCCTCTATATCCACTCTCATGTCAAAAGAGAACTGAAATTGCAATATATGAGCTGTAAGTGTTTGCACCTGCTGAGCCTTTCGAAACCTCTTCACCGATGTAAGACCTGGCTATTCAAGGAACTTTTTAAGAGCATATTTATTCCACTGGAATTACAGGGAATATAAATGATGTTGACATGGCAGCAAATATCCTTGGAAAATCCAACATTTGGGAGAGAGGTGAATCTCTTTTCATTCTTATAATGGGGGCTGTATTGCGTCTGCTGGTGGCACTTGCCATCACAAGTGAACCGCCAGCTTTGAAGATCTCACGGGGAGCAGAAATAATGAAAAACATGCTGTTTTTCTCTCTCTCCATCTATTCCCACCTACCACTTGATTTATTTTTTAGATCAATACAGCCCCTCTTCATTGGGCTTTGCCACTGTTATCACTGGGTGCCTTTGTCACACTTGAACCTCTGTCCAATGAGGTTTTGAATAGCTGCTGAAGTTTGCGAGACTTTCTCTGTGGGCTTTTTTCACTTTTAAATGTAATCACAATGATGCTGTGGTGGATTCATACCTGTGAAAAAAAACCTTGAGGGTAGGAACAGGAAATGGCTTAAACAACCGGAAAGATGCCCTTCTAATGAATCAAGCCTGAAGCTTTGAAGCTGGCGCGAGTCTCACAAATTACTCCCACAGTGACCTGGGATTCAGGTAATGAGCAAGGTTCTGCACCATGCCATCATAGGCAATATGTTAAGCCAATAGAAATCATCAATGCCAGACCTTCTGAAACGGTGTAAAAGCTCCTCTAATCAAGCCTTCACAGACTAGCAGCCAGCACTGTTCTCTCCAGATGAAATCCTCCAATGTGCCAGAGGAGGAGGAAAGGATAGAGTTGGTATAATGCCCTCCATCCGCTTTTGTCTTTCTGAAAGGAGGCAACTCATGTGTTATTAACATAAGGTCTGTTACCTGAGATTGCTTTCTGCCTGGCGTGACTGAGCGGAATATGAAATGAGCTTCTGATGGACACGAGGCCATTTTATCCCCTTGTGGGCCATTCATTGCTTTCAAGCCATGCTTTTATTCTTCCCCCTTCTTTTTTTCAGCACTCTTTTTGTCCACAAAAGCGTCTTTGATGCATTTCATCCCAGGTGCTTTAACCCTTGATGGAGCGTCTCTGGAGGAGAACAGAGCTGCAGCAGAGGGAGAGGCAAAGATCATGCGCAAACCACTGGGACAAACTTAAAATAGCCACTTCTCTCCTTGTTTAGTCTGAGGATGCTGATTTGACTGAGTGGGGTGAGGTGAGGGCAATCTACTGAATCTAAAATGATATTTTAAAGTGATTCGATGCATATTCACGTGTAGCCAGGGCTGCAATTGAACGGCTTGTCCTGATTTCTCTTTTCAATATATAATTTTGCAAGTTAATTTTCAAATTTACCAAAGGAAAGTAGCCAAAAAAAATGTGCAGTGATCTGCATTGTTTGACTCGCGATCATAGTCATGATAAGTGTTCACTACTGCACACAGACAAATGTAGCCACAAACAATTTCACTGTCAGAGCCACATTAAAGTGCTCACCGTGTGGCTCTCAGTTACTGTAGAAGCTAAACTTGAGGTGTGTGCAGATTCTGCCGACTATCAAACGACTCGAGAGGCTGTGAATGTTCGGTGCTTCCTTTCATTAACCCCCTGCCTGTGCTCTTCCTGAATGCTTGCCAGATGTTTTGTGGCCAAAATGTGCTGTGTGGAAACTACTTTTGCTGCCACAATGTAACAGTTCTAAAAAGGGATTTTAGGGTAAGGGATTAGGAATTGCACTGTTAAAATCGCCTGCAACTGAAGTGAATGCTGGACTCTGAGCAGTTTCATTTACATGTAGCAGTAACACCCCCAGAGGGAGTGATAGCTTGTAAGTATTGTGGGGATGTGTCTGGCTGAAAAACATCCACAATCACAGAGAAGAATGCAGTGAAAAAGTACAGCTCATGCATGAAGAGTGGATTTATACTGTATAAAATACTATAAAAGCACAAAACACAAGAAAATCATCTCAATCTTTTTTGTTGGCGTTGTAGCAAAGCTTCCATACGTGAATTTGCTGCTATTTATTTATGTCTATAGAGCTAAATAATGCAACACTAATCACAAGTGGCAGAGTTCAGCTGGTTCACTTCCAGTTCTTCACTTCAGATCTTCTTATCACTGCAAAGCAGATCATCTGAACATGTAAAACTGTAAAAATTTCTCCACAGACAAGCTTACATTTCAGCAAATATGGAGAATTAATTTTTCTGCAATAAGTTAATATCAAATTAGGTTTTAATTGGGTTTAAATTTAACTTTATAAAAGGGATTTTGCTTTTTTTTTCTCTATAATTAGTATCTAGACACAGGGCTCTTCCACTATGCTTAGAAATAAGTGTGAAATTATTCTACACACCCATATAATGAAGCACTGGAAATCAGTGCTAAATTTCTGTCTCCTCTTGGCTGGCTGAAAAAATGTCCTCTAAATGTGTTTCTCGAGGCGGAGACTTTCTTCAAAAGCCAAGAATCATATATGATTTACACTTCGTTAAATTTACAATGCGGACAAAAATAGCCTGCATTCATAAAATTCTGCTATAAACTTCTTTATTGAGAAAAAGGCCAGGGGTGTGATTGCTGAGAGCAGGAAACCTAATTGCACAGTAGAAAATATGGAGTAGCAGGGCTGGGACTGATACACATCAAGCAAATGCTTCTGGGATGAACAACGGAGTGAAAAAACATATTACAGGGACTGTGCTACAAAGTGGATCAATAGAGGACAACAAGTGCTGGAGTACTGGCTTGATAATAGCTCTAGCTTTCTGTCCTTGACTCAAACAATGGTCGCTCTGCACTATTTGTCAAAGGGCTTCACCATGGTAACGGGTGATGGTGAAGACACAGGCAAGGGGCTTTTCCTTTGCTCAAAAATTAGGTTTGGTACAAGAAAAAGATCACTGAAACATTATATCACACATTAACTCATGAACCCAATTTTATTTATTTTGAACCTTGATGCCTCTATGTCCCCATACAATACATTCAGTATATACATTTGGCCATGAGGGACTGTACAGAGATATGTTATAGTAGTGCATACACACGTGGCACGAAAATGTACACAAAGGAAACTCATACATGCCACTTTACCACAGTAAAGTCACACACATGGGGGCAAGTCAATGGCTGATGGTTGCTCACACCAGTACACACACACACACACACACACACACACACACACACAAACACTGTTTCATGCATGCACAATTGTGCGTACACACACACACGCTTTAAGACACTTCTGAGGGAGGAGGAGGGGTCTTTCAGGTTCTCATAATAGAAATTAACAAATGTGAAGAGCGCATCTGCCGATTGCAGCAAATCCCTCCCCCTGTCTGAACACCCTCCCCTCTGTCTCCCCCTTTTCTCTATTTCCCTTTCTCCAAAGCTAAGGCCTCTCTCTAGGCAATGCGGCCATCATACGCAGGCTCTTTACTATCGAAGAGTAACACTCATCAGCAGCAATAACTAAATAAAGAGCCTCTACTGTCAACATTTCATCTCTTAGACAGGGAACATCCGGAACATAGAGGATACACAGCACATAAAGTTTATTTCATTTGCATTTCTTCTTAGAATATCTTCCCTCAAGGAAATACATAGGTCCATTTCGACAACATACTATTCCTTAATAAAGCTGCAGAGGTTGCCTTATCACATGAACAGACACCCTCATATGACATACTTATGTAACGACAGCAACATCTGTCTGCTCACTTACTGCACCAGTAAAATAAACGTCTGTATACATCCCACTTTCTGCAAACTATTCCTTTTAACGATCAATCAGGTCATTCTGCTGATGTTATCTCCTCCTGGTGGACATTTTGTACCATCACATTTGTCATAAACATTTGGTGGAGGCACATACTCCAATCATTTTCCCTTCAATGACTGCAGTTTAGAGTTGCATAGCACACAGCGGAGATATATAGTCAAAGCCAAATACATATTTGACTTTGTATATACAGTGGTCATGCTCGCTTAAGTCAGTTTTAATTCCTTGTGTCAGTCATTTTCAGCCTGGACCAAAGCCCCCCAAAATTTCCATTTTTACTGGGATTTGCTCATTAAACCACAGAATTTTGCAACTCATAAGACTAACAAAGGTTTCCTCTGAAGAGGCAGTTTGTTAGAAGTATTAGGCACTCTCATTAGTCTCAGCCTCTCCTTGCTGTAATTGGTCAGCAATATTACATGCTGTGGGCTGAGCTATTATTGGTTCTTTTACAATAAACTGCAGAGAGCAGGCCACAAGACAGACACGTCATTCCTATGAGTTGCTAAAATGAAAAGTGGTAATGAGAAAATACAAGAAGAAATCAAAATTAATGAGTCACGGGGCTGAATTCTAGTCTCTTGAGTTTAGGGGAGAAAAAATAAAAGTGCTGACAACCAACGAGGTTCAAGCAAGGGCTGTCACCAGTTTGTACCAGCAGGGTTAAGAAACACACTGGAACTCAAAAAGTCTGTGCACACATTCTCATTTGCATACATATACAGTACACATGAACGTGTTGGACACATGCATACTCACTCACATTCACACATGTATGCACTTCTGGTAGTAAAGGGTAGATGACAGAAAAGGTTTTAATGCAAAGAGGAAGCATGGCAGAATGAAGGTAGGTGTCTTTTCCAGTGCGAACAGGCCGCGTTGTGATTGGTCCATGGGGGGGAGAATATGCGATCGTCTCTTACGCGAGGCTTGACAATCTCGTTGGTCAGGAGACGCCGTGACTCGTGTCCCAGAGTCAGGCCACCGAGGCAAACGTGCATTAAGCAGAACTGGAAACAACAAAAAAACGCAAAGCACCACAGTAAAAGAGGCTGGAGTAGTCCCAAAAAACACGATCACATCAGCACAGAACAATGAGGGTGAGGGGGCCGCCGGGCCATCACAGAGGAGTAACACATCAGTAATAATTACCCCAGAATAAATTACAGTCACAGAACAATCGTTAAAAGCAGAACTGGAAATCAGCTGATCTAGCGGACTGATTTGATCCATGCATTATAAGGCATTAACCAAACATTTGTTACTGACATCACACAGTATCATATTAGTGACTATACATACAATTGCTGATCTGGAAAATCTGCTGTTTTCATAAAAAAAATCTTGGATTAACTGTATTCAAAAAATATGTTCCTAAAACCGATGATGCAATTTTAAGGGAATTGGGAATGTCGAAGGGAGAGCAGATCGATGTCTGCAATCCCATTGTACCTATTGATCTGCAGATGGGTGAATGAAATTGATTTTCTGAGGTAGACAATGCAGGCATATTTCATTCTCCCAATGCAAAGCCATTCTAAAGAGGGGTAGCAGGGCTAATTTGGTCCATTTGGACAGGCTCTGGTCTCCAGCCTCAGCCAATTGTACTGTGTCAGATGGCTTGACCCATCCATCATGATCTCCTGCCTGTCTCACCACTGTGGTACTTACACTGTCATTGGTGTGATACACCCACTCAGTGATGGATAGCAGACAGTATTCGCTATGACAAGATAGAGAGATCAGTCTGCACTGCTCACAGGCCTGTTATTTCCATGCAGCTGGGGACACACCATTCATACAAGGCCGGGTTATTCAATATCCTGACCACTGTATGGGGCCCACGTGGACAATATCCCTCAACATGCCTCATAAATGTCGCTTCCCTTACACGGCCTTTACAATCTTCAAGTCCCCTTACAAACAATTACAGCATCAACAGAGCCTAACCAAATGAGCACAGTCAAACAAACGTGCTCATACACAATGTGCATCCCGAGTAAAATGGTACATTTTATGAGAAAAAGTACAACCCAGTGACAAATGTTACAATGTTGTACCTTTCTTTTCTTTGTGTGTTAAGTGCTAAGGGAAGTCAGCTCAAGAATCAATGAAATGATGTTCATCAGATAGTCAGTCTGCGATGTAATGAAGTGGGTGTCTGTCATAAATAAAATAAAATACAATAACAAAAGCCTTCTGCAACATTGAGTCTGTATGTGTAGGAGAGTATGCAGTAGGCCTTCAAAACAGGTCTGGAATCCGTAGGCCAGTGAGGTGAGTCAGGATCAGCAGTTTTGTGTTCATTTTCCCATGAGCCTACTGGGCACTGTCCAGAGGGACAGGGCGCATGGAGCCACGGGGTGGCCCAGTGAGTACTGCAGGGGCCGACGCCTGCAGGCGACCCAGAGCACTATAGTGTCCTGATGGCTACAGGGTAGAGCAGAGACATGTGTTCGGCACCCTTGATGGGCAACTTGCGGCTGGAGTAGAAATGGATGATCTCAGGCACGCTGTCAAACGGGCAGCTGTTCTGGCCCAGGATGTACTTGTTCTCCTTCGTCCGTGACAGCTTCATGTGCATGAAGCCCTGGCTGCTCCTGGGGACAGAGGAAGACAAGAGAAGGACAGCATGTTAGTTATATAAAAAAAGACCAAGGGTCTGCATTATACATCAGATTTTCTGAAGTGACAATTTCATCCTCCACAGCATGAAAACATTTTTCCTGTTTAAAACAAGGTGGAACAAGACACACACACAGCTCTGGGCTAAATGCTAATGTCAGCATCATGGATATATTAGTTGGCTCCCACCAAAAAAGGGCCATATACTGTAGGTTGTGCAAACCGCTTATTACAACCCATAGTTACATTCATTTTAAGATGGGGCCCTCTCATGGTAGTAATTATTATGGGAGCAGAGGAGGAATTGAGTTGACACAGTATAGAAAGTGACAAAGCCTGAATTATGTTGCTGGAGGGGTGGTGGATGGGTCAAACAAGCACAGGACCTTCACTCAGGAGACTGGTGTTTATGCCCCAGCATCAGTGTTGACTTACATAGCACAGTAAACTAGTATGCGAAGCCTACTATGCTAGTGATAGGATGTCTTTCATGTGATGTTAGTAACAAAAGAACTTATTTAATGCCAAACCATGATGATTTTTCTTTACCTAACTACCCAGTTTTGTTGCCTAAACCTAAGCATAGCAAGTTTTATAGTGTACCTGCAATCATTAGAATGGTAATATATGTTGTTTGAAGGCAAAGGAAATGTACTTATTCTGCCATTTAGGTATGAGAGAGTACTGAATATATTAAAAGGGCTGGATATGGCACCACCATACAGCCTTGCTGCTAATGTGCACCAGTGGCCACTCACGGTACTGCAATGGAAAAACTCAAAAAGCATTTACTCATAAACCATTATAAAAAGGACTTCTGTGAAGCTTCTGGCAGAACGCCTTAAATTGCAAAGAAGATTAAGTATAACTGTTTTAGTAACTTTTAAAATATGGAGGTTTAACATTTGTATTTTGACAATGCAAATACTTTTGAAGGGTTTTCATAAACCTAAGTATTGGAAAAATTCAAATGATCATTTGACCTGATGGTGGCACTACAGCAAAAGTCAAGGGATCAGTGAAAGTGAAGTGAAAACTTTGACTTTGTTGGTGCAACATGACAGGTGAGAGGATCACAAAAGTCATTAGGACTAATCCCGTGGGAACCATGGATATCTGAACCAAATTTCACAGCAGTCCATCTAATGGTTGTTGAGATATTTCAGTCTAGACCAAAGTGGTGGACTAACCGACCGTCACTGATATGCCTGGAGCCATGTCGCTAGCAAGGCTAAAAACCAATTTAAAGAGAAAAGTATGTCAGAAGCCTGAATATATAGGGAACTCAACAGAACGCCCCTCCTTGACAGCTCCTTTCTCATTTACTCCCGCAGTAGTTGCTCCCTACAGTACGTGACAATGTTCTGAAAGCTGGATTACCTCTGATAACTTTGGAGCTGTCTGGGGAGGAGACTAAAAGGCAGGTTGCTTAAGGTGCTGGGTTTCACATGCAGAGCATAAGGATGAGGCTAACGAACCCCTAGGATGAGTCACTTAAGCTGCTACAATAAATGCACAGCAAATTAAAAGCCCCTTGTGTGTTTCTAGGGGCCTTCGATCGATACATTTTACAGCTTGCCAGTAATCTTCTGCTTTAAAATAGAAAACTACTTTTTTGGGAGTTAAGTGATGCAACAGTAAGCTTAAGCAAGGGACTGTTACAAAACTAACAGCTCCTATATCCTGCTGGAAATATACTATTTTAATCATTTTTCTTTACAATAATATATACGCATAATAGCTTTTTCAATCAGCAGTTAATGCTTCTTGCAAGTCATGATTGCTGTAGGCTCAAATACTTTGCACTCACTTGCTGCAAGTGGGCATTAAGTCCTGTCATTCCCTAATCTGAACTGTAACCCCCGCTGCTGACATGAAAAAAGGCAAGAAGGAGAATAATAACAGAAGTTTCCCATTGAACTGGAAAAAAGAGGAAAAAACTCCAAGGATTACCAATTCCCCCTAACCCCCGCTGTGACAGGCAGGCAAACACATCAGGTAAGCGTGAGAGCTGCCCACTCACCGACTCTCGGGGCCTGTTAGTGTTATCTGCACTGTGCATTCTGTTCGTGTCAAAGATGGTGTGGAACAGGACTCTCATGAGGACTGTGCACACACAGGATAAGTGTGTACAAGGTGTTAGGTAGAAGAGATATTATTTTTATCAACAAAAGCAGGATGTGGGATTATTATACTGATTCATTCTCTGTTTCAATAAGTTAGAATAAAAACAGGGTGGGCAAGTGTTGATGAGGTTTAAACCTCTATGACTTGCTATACTTCTCTTTTCCATGTACATTTTTTTTATGTTCCAGATTATTACATGGGTTTATGAATAGTCAGCCAGACAAACGAAGCAAAAAAAAGAAAAGAAAGACAGAATAAAAGCCATATTTTTGAGGTTATTAAATGTATTCTCACTGTAAATACACACCCATATTTGTGGATGTGCCCATTATCTGTGATTAACAGGAGAAAGAACTGGGCTTTAGGCACCTTAAACGTGAGGCGAGTCCATTCTTTACTTATCTGGTAATTGCATGTGTAAAGCCTGCGGATGTGTTCTCTCCCTGATGCGCAGAGAGAAAGCGGCACAGAGATAACACTGATGTGGAGAAAAAGCTAAGAATATACAGGGTTCAATACGAGGACATCCATAAAGAATAAGAATACATTAAAAACCAATAAAGGGTGATTCCTTCCTCAGAGGTTGTGCTTTAAGTCAAAAGATGAGCCCTATTCTTTTTTTTTTTGTATTAGTGTGATTATTATCGTTATAATAGAAAATCAGATGAAGCAATCTCAGATGCTTTGGAATCCCACGCACCATACATGGCAGACGATGGAGAATGTTTCAAACGGAAACACTAACATAATTTTTTCTAGGCGAGCTGAGGCAGAAAGCTGCAGGCTCGCTGCGCTATAAAACTGAAGTAAACACAACTATCAGAGTTCTCCATTACCTCCGCTGCCTCTGGCCTCGAAATTTGAGTGTGTCATTAACAAGTTCATCATGATTTGAGGAGAGCAGGACAAATTTCCCCTCGCCACGGGTCTCTACAGTTCTACGATTCTGCAAGTGCCAGGAGAGCTCATTTTAAAAAAAAAACAAAAGAAAACTCTCCCTGCAAAGTGCATTTGATGAGTCTTCACGTGAAGCGCTGAGAAACAGGCGTTAGGTTACACAGAGCCACACTTAAAAAGCCAAACACATCAATAGCATCATTTTTAGATTCCCAACTGATTTTCCGGCTGTTGCTCAGGGCTGCTTATCACGTTACAGTCCTGCAGAGACAGAAACCAGGACAACGGAGCAATACGGCAGGGCTGTTGATAAAATGAATATGGGGCTATTTTTGAGAAGACAGGCCTTTTTGGTGTTATCATATCCCTGTGTGTTTGTGGGCTTCTATTGTCTAATCAGGATTAATCTCACTGGGGAGGTCTGCTGTCCTGTTTATTGAGGTTTATGACTTTGATTTGAACCCTGTTGTCTTCAGAGCAGGAACAGCCTGACAGCAATCACAGCTTATCTCCACTTCAACATATTAGATTGCTCCATGAATGATGCTCTCAGAGTTATGAATCCGTGGTACCAGAAACGGCAAAGTCATCCGCCAAAAGATAATGATCCTTGGCAGAAGCGATGACCTTTTTTAAGCATTACTGGGCATGAGATATCCCTTCACCCATTATTTCATAGAGCACAAATTGAATGAGTCTGCCTAGGATGAGTCCTACTGTTCTGTAATACACAACTGATGACAAAAAGATAAAGTTTAAGAAAGTAGTGCAAGTTTAAGAAACAAAATCTTCCCTCTATATCAAATCTGGTTGAGGGAACACAGAACACTGAAGAACTAGGCTCTGATTGGCTAAATCAACAGCATACAATCAAATTCAGTGTTACTTTTGTGTTCTAGACAGTCACTGATCTCGTCTGTGCCACATCAAGGAAATACGATCTTTTCTGTCTTAACTAAATCAAAAAGGCACCATAAAAGCATGATTTGTCTTTGGAAGAGGAGTTCAGTTGCAGATGCAAAGACCTTTTGGTTGTTTTTCAATTGGCTACTTAGTTCCCGTGTCTGTGTTGTGCCATCAAACAGATTTTGTTGGATAGATTTTCTTCGTTCACTAACAATTCCTCTTCTGAGCCAGTGGAAACACGCTGTGCAGAGCTCTCTCACGAGGTGAGAAACTGGCTGACACTGTGCTCTGAGAGACCTGTGAAGGGTTTAATATGTTTCAAACACCTAAAAGGGTTTCTCTCCACAGAGAGGGAAGAAAGACAGAAAAGGAGGGGTGTAGCGGAGAGGGGCAGGTGAACAGAAAAAGGGGGTTAAGAGGGCAAAACAGACAGAAAACGCTTTCCGTCGGGCCAGAGGACTCTTGAGGCTGGAGGTCTCAGCGACGTCTGTCTTTATCAATAATGCAATACACATACGTGCCACCTCATGGCCTTATACATTTTTCAGCAGCCTCAGACATGGAGGATCCTCACCTCTGGTTTCCACTCATTTTCAGTGGCAGCAGGAGAGACAGGTTCGTGTGAGTAGGCTGAACTTGGGGTAACCTCTGCCTGCAGTGCGGTGGCACCTGTCATTCCTGTGCATCGCCCTGCTGACTGTTTTCTAAGCTTGATCTGATTGACGCCAAAGGCACAAGATATTCTGACATTCTGTGACAGCCAGGAGCTGACTTACACAAATACACACATGGATGTCTACACACACAGAAGCACAATGCTTCAAGAAACATTTTCTATGTTAATAATTTTGCCAACTTTCTCCTTCTGCAGGTGCTTTCCCTGCCTGCTATTCAGCCAGCAGATGCACTGAATTGTGCACAGTTTGCTATGTTATTACCATATAAAACATCTTATCATTGCAGGACAAAGAAGAAAAAGAAACTTTTTTCTTTATGACACAGACCAAGAACAGACTGAGGTCCAATGTGACACTCAGCTCTGTGATTTACTTTGAATCTCTACTACAAGACTTGACCTGTCAGCAATTCTTGAGTGCAAGGCCCAGCGTCACTGTTAACAGTGATTAAATTATCTTGCTTCAGATTCGAGTGTAGGGCAAAGAGTGCTTCAAACTCACTAATTACGATCTCTGAAATCAGAAGGTTCACGGCCCAGGATTATATGATTCTTTCTCCATTTGGCCCCGGGCATGAAAGATCTGGACACCACTGCTTTAGTGGCTCCTTTCTCTACTACTTAAACTTCCTGCCCTCATTGATGCTAACCCAGTCTACTGCAAGGGTTGCACAAGGCATAAGCAAAGTCTGTGTCTGCTTAGAGTCACCAGGGCACTGCTGATCATTCTTCTCATTCTGACTGGGAGCCCCAAAAGCTTAAGTGTGTCCCAGAGGTCACCCACTTGACAAAGTGGGGAAGAGTAACTCTGCTAGTCCAGGCCAAACTATGCTCACAGAGATTAAACAACTTTGCTGCAACAACAGTATGATAATCTTATCAAAATAATTATCTTCTTCTGCAACCATTATGGGTGTCACCCAACCACCTGCTTGTGTCTTTATAAAACAGTGGCCTTTAGATCAAAGAACCAGACAAGCAGATGATCTGAATTGATGGACATGAAAAATATGATCAATAAAACAACAAGTAAAACTTCCTTCTACCTTACCAGCTGAGTAGCCCACTTGACACTTGACCAACTGACCCCTATCATCTGCTCTAATAGCACAGTTCACTACTGAGGGTCAGCAGGACAGCTGTGGGATGTGAATTAATGTACATGTGTGAGAGAGGGTTAACACGTTTTGTTCACCTCACACTAAATCAAACATAACTTTTATTTAAGACAAAATACTTCTCTCTTATTATTGCCTGGTTGTCTTTAATATGTGAAAAAAATATTCAGCCATGTAAGCTTTAGCAGTTTTCCAGTGCCTTCTGGTCTTTCCGCCCAAAAACTTTCATTTGATAAATCTAGCAATCAGCAATTTCAATTGGGGAGGTAAAGCCCCCAGCATTAAGTGATCCCCATCCCACCATCGTAGAGAAATGAGTGGATTAATTCTCTCTAGCTTTGAAAAAACATCATTATATGTTCATGCTCCAAAATTGAACAAGTGTGCATTAGAAGTGCATTCATCAGATTCAGATCCTGCATCATCACTCTGTATGTCAACAACATCCTCTAGCAAACATTTGTTGTTCTGTCTGCATTGACGGTCTGGGCTCAGTCCATTTAGGTCTTATAAGTCTGTTTTATAGTCATTATTTAACTCTGAATATTCTCTCTGGTGAATATGGGGCTATTCGTGTGTGTGTGTGTGTGTGTGTGTGTGTGTGTGTGTGTGTGTGTGTATGCTTCTGAACCATATATTCTGGTCTTCATTTGCACTTTACAGCTATTGATCACATATCCTCTGTTGGCCGTCCCGGAGGTCCCTTTTGGCCATAGCTTTTTTGAGCACTAAATAATGTATTCCCACTCAGTGCAATATTACATTTACATTCCTTTTATCTCCAAGGAAGATACATTTGGCCTGAAAATCTTTCCCAGCAACTTTAAATTTCAGGATATTAAAAGACAGTGTCTTGGGCTACTTTCAAAAACAGATTACAGTGTTTAGTATTTAGCCAGTCAAACAGGCATTAATCAGTCTTTGGTTTGAAGTCAGTCAGAATGTCAGTGTAAGAGGTCCGACACTCAGCACTTAGTAAGTTTCAATGAGTAATGCAAAAAAAGAAGCAACATAAACAAATAGTCAGTCAGTCACTGAGACATGAAGTTCAACAGAAAGTCAGCCACAGTAGCATGTAGAGAATTAGAGCAGTGGAAAGCATTATGTTTCCCTGCCAACACATATTAGCCTTCAGCACCATGAGCTCTGCTGTATTAACGGAGGCTAATCTACGTCTGTTAGAATATTATAGTTTCATCTCATCTGAAGGTCGTCCTGGAGCTGTGGAGATTTCTCTAAATGTCATCTGGATGAGCCTGCCTTGAAATATAAAATGGAATGTATATAAAGGAAATGTGAAAAGACCATTTGTCAGCACAGATACTAAGATTTTAAAGCTGATGGCTCAAGCAAATTTATCAACGATGACTCAAAGATGACTTTGGCAAGTTTTCAGAGGGCTACAAATTCCCGGTTATGACTCTGACACCTGGTACTTGCACCTGGCAGTGAAAAATCATTAAAGCAAACCCACCAAAGGCGCACGCTCCCGTCAAAAGAATAGGATGTGACTTCACTGCGGGCCTTCAAGCTAAAGTAACCTCTACCAAATGTCACACTAGACTAAACCAATCAGAGTGGCTCCTTTGAACCCTCTGCTGGATGCGGCAGGGATCAGGGGTCGCTGATGAAGGGCACCATTAACTGTGCTGTGGGCACATCAGCAAATCAAGAAGCCGACAGTGTCAGAGGGGTTACTGCGGGGAGGTGGAGGACAAGGGACGGCAGGATGTAGGTGGGAGATAGAGGTCTGAAAGGTGAAAATCATTACCATATTGAAAAGGTCGAGTCAGCAGACTATTGTGGCACAGGTATACAAGGACCTCTGTGTGCAAGGTTTTAGATTCGGCCACGATGTGTACTCCACCAGTAAGCATGTGTAGCTGCAACACTTCTTTGGCTCTCTGTGACTCTTCAGTGTGTGTGTGTATGTGTGTGTGTGTGTGTGTGTGTGTGTGTGTGTACACAGAGAGTGGGAATGGCTGTTGCAAATAATCCTTGACACTTGCTCTGTGCCCAAATCACAAAAAAATATACTCGGCTGACTTTCACAGACACTTGATTTTCTTAACTCTCTGACACTCCAGCAGACTAAATCGCATGGAGCATTTGCGATTACTTTTTCACCCAGCTGTCATATGCGCTTGTGTAACTGATAATCCTGTTTGTGTCTCCTTATTTAGGAAAAAGAGAGTGCCGTCCTTACTTGAGGGAGAGGGAGTAGTCGTTCTTGCTGGTCTCGCTGTTTCTCACCAGGTAGCTGGCCTCCTTACACAGCCTGAGCAGAGACTCTGCGTCTGTTCGGCTGATCGCTCCATGGTACCAGCTACAGTGAACAATAGGAAATAGGGATGAGGAAGAAAGGGAACAAAGGAGTGGTAAGAATGAGCAAAAAAACAGAACAAAGGAAATGAAAAAACAAGGGTCAGACGTGCTCATGAAGAGCCAAAGTGGTGCCTTCGAAATAAAATGCAGTCATAAAAAAGCATCCCCAAGACCCAACTCACAACTGGCTTTCCAGGGGCATGCTGGGGTCAATACGCTCCCCCAGAGAGGAGCTGCAGTGGTCCAGTGAAGTCATTTTGGTGTTGACCAGACAGCCACTGGAGTGTCGCTGCAGCGGGCGGGTTTTCCCCTCCTTGGTAGGCGACATTCGAGACTTCTCCACGCCATCAAACTGGACTGTAATAAAGAAAAATGCAACAGCTGAAACATTTTATTCTGGAAGAATACGCTGGGTATTTGAAAGCAGTGAGACCCTCATAATAATACAACATACTAGTCCTGTACATATACTTCAGTTAGACTTAAGGTCACTTGGAAAAGCTAGTGTGCTTCACAAGCAGTGGATGTTTAAAGAAAATTATGGCATAAACTGCTGCTCTAGTAAACTAGACCAAAGCAGTGAGGTGCATGTGGGAACATACACACACACACACACAGTGTCACTTTGTGTAACTCATTCAACTGAAGGACGTGTAAACACAGTCGAGGAGGCATAAATCAATCCTTCCACACTGTGTACACATCCCGGTGAGACAAAATACACACACATGCAAACTTCCTCCAAACCACTCAAACAACCACATGCATCTGTAAATACACCCACATATATATTACTGTATGTGTGAGAATGCACACTCTTTAACTACACACACATAAATGTGCACAGTCATGCAAACGAGCCCGTTTGGCAATGTCAGAGGAACAAATTCACACACAAGTCCTACACACAGGTACTGGAAGTTAAACATTAACCTGACTTTTCAAAACTCTCACGGTCAACTGTGGATACGATCGGCTGCTTTGGCAGCTGCACAGGGAAGTGTTTGATGACATGTGCGGGGGCTGGAGGTGACCTGTGCCCATGACATGATTGGTGGAGGTCACTGAGCCGTTTCACAGCCAGTCAGGACTTGAAAAAACATTTACCCTTATTTAAAGAAGCTAACATGAGGACAAAAGAGAAGCTAATGTCCACAAGGACAAATTAAAGTGAATTCTCACTTCTGTCAGAGGGTTATAAAGGGCAAAATAATGAAATATTGGATGGCTGAGACCATTTTCCCGCCATCGTCCATGGCTATAATTGATGTCACAGCACCCTTGGCTTTGGAAAGAGCCCACTGAGCCACTGACACGCTTCTCAAGCAATAACGGCAACAGCTACATGACAAGCTTTAGCTGGAGATTGTTGGCTGCTTAAAGGTTTAAGATCAACACACGGAGGCTGAGCTTTTGACGGAAGGAGTTAATGTAGCATGTTGACAGCCACTGCCTCTGTCTTTGCAGCTCTCGCTAACGGCGTCTAATGTTTAATTACCTGAGCTGTGCGTGGCAGGTAGTGTGCAGACAGACAGGCACTGTGATCTACACAACACGTCGTTTCAGATGGGTTTACATCTGTCTAGACTCTGTATTCCAGTCAGAGGATCCATTACACTTTACAGTTTGTGAGCTCGCCAAGTGTGTTCCTGCACCAGACTGAGCGGGAGGGCTGACAGTATCAATCTGTCAATTTAGGCTGCACGAGACAACACTATGTCAACAAACCAAGCTGAGCCTGTGGCCCCCATTAAGGCTGTATCAGGAAAACACAGGACCTTCTGTACAAACTGTGAATGTAAGAATACATATATTTTCTATAATCACTGACATATTATCTCCACTGCAAAAAAAGTAACTGAGTAAAAAGTAACACCCACTGAAAAAGATTAATAGAATTGAATGTAAATAGAATCAAAATATGTTGTTTTGACTGGACCAATAAAACCACCAACTTTTACTGAGACTTTTTTGGCTTCTGACCCCTTACAAAAAAGTGTTGTTTAGCTGAGGGCTGTTGCCACATGTCCAAAAAATTCAAGTACTTTTACTTTTGATGCTTTAAGTCCATTTTGCTGATCCTACATTTACTAAAGCAAATCTGTGCTTCTTCCACCACTGCCAGTGATGGAACATGATCCAGCAGCATGTAGGGATGTTGAGACAGAGTCCTGCTGTTTCAGCTCCGACCACCAGGGGCTCCCCTTCATCTCCACTCAACTCCAGGTTAAACTTGCTGGCCTTGAGCTCACTGATGCATTTCCCTAAACATAAACTCATGGTAATGATTATTCCAAATGACTCCGCCTCCCCTTGTTATCTTGGCCTCTGCCCCTCTGTTCGTTATAGGGCTACGGCCGAGTCTTAAAATGACAGCCAAATTGTACTGTAGCATGACAGCTGGGTAAACTGTGGCTCTAACCTCAGACCCATGGAAGACTATGAGCCGTAGCTGCACTTCCTCAGGCTCTGATGCCTGGACGACAGGCAGTCAAATGATCCTCCCGTGTTGCATGTAAGTCCACATGGAAGACATCATTAGTTCTCTACTTTTTCATACAGTCCATTTGAACCACATGCCGACTGCTGGGAATACAGTGCGAGCACATTCAGTGTATGTGTAAGGGTGAGAAATAGTGTTTCCATGGAAACTGACCAAGGGGACAAGGGAGATGCATGTTTGCTCCGCTCATCCCTGTCAACGCTGACAGATCACAACATGAAGACGCGGCCAATTGCTCTCTCTCCCTCCTTCGCTTTCAATTTCTCTCTTCCTCTTTGCATATGTCTGACCCTTCCTCTTTTTCTCCCTCCTCACCTTTTCTTTTGATCTCTCCATGTCACGCACTCCAGTCCTGTCCCCCCATGTCTCCCTCTGTTTTTCCTCTGTGTTTTTGTTTATCAGGGACAGAAATAGATAGCAGGAAATGGACTGTGGAGGAATGCCTGCTCGTCTAATAGCAAAAGGAGAGACAGAGCAATAAGAGCTTTGATCTGTTATCTCTACTGTTTCTGATGGTCCTAATGCAGGACTATCAGTCGCTCATTATGTCTCATCCTGCAACAACATTGTGAAACTTTACCTATGTACATTAAGAGTCCATATACAAATTGGATAAAAAAAAGTACTTTGAAATAATGCTTTTTTGTAAGTCCAACCAGTGATTTTAACTTACAAGGCTGGAAAAGGTATTTGCTGGTGTGGCATAAGGATGAATGTTGCTATCTCGGTTTTCCCACACAGTCCATCTCTCGGTGTATCTACAGCCCACTCAGCCATCCGCCTGACCTCAGCTCTTCACATTTTCTCCATTCGTGCAGTACCCCCACTAATTCCTCCTCTTCCCCAGATTCAACACAATCAGTGCTTCATTTGACCTTGATTAAACCCTTTCTCCCTCCACCTCCTAGAAAGGGTTGAGTGGCTATTCTTGGAGGAGCTCACCCCATCAACCTTCCCTGTCAGAGCCGAGTTCTTTTCCACAGGCAGAGCGCATCGCTCCACAAGGAGAGTATTACCCTGAAGGGAGAGCCTCTGAACGTAAACAAAAGCTATCGTTTTTATTTGCTCAGCAGTGAATGAACCCGTGTCTTCTTTGATTGCCAGCCATCTCACTAACACTATAGTTTCGGAATTATGTTTTAAGGCCGAATATCAATGGGAGTGAGCCAAACTCATTCCCCTTTTCATTCTCTGAGAGCATGCGGTCTGAGACATGGCGGACAGGAGATTGACGAGAGGATTGGCCCAGAGCAGAACAAAACCCCTGAGAGGCAGCTTAAGAGAGACGCGAGAGGGAACACACACACAGGCGCGTGTGTCTTCACGTGCACGCACACAGACACGTACGTAAAAGTGCTGGGGCATCTGTGTGTGTTATCAGTATTGTTGCTTGTAAAGCACAGCAAATGGAATCTGTATATCAGATTGAACTGTCAGTCAGAGGGTGACTGATGGCTGAAAGACCTGCCCCCTTCAAACACATAGCTTCCTTCAGAGAGCTCTGTAAAACACAGGGGAGGATGAGGAGGGAGAGTGTGTCAGAGAGGGAGCTGACTGGCGAGGACACAGATAAACACAGAGGTCAAAATGACATTTCCATGATTACACTACGACCAATCCACAACATAAAGTGCTGCAGTGTAATTCAGCACAGCACAATACAAGACAAACTAATGCCATAAGAACATGGAGAGAGAGACTTATGGTGGCTATCAGGCACAAGAAAAAAAAACTCTTATATAAATAAACACTAAAAAGTGGAATGGCAAACTTTTCAAGGGTGTAAGGGCCATGATATTAAACACATAAAATAAGAAAAACACCAAAAATGTAGTTACAATAAAGTGCACGAGGCTTCTGAACAGCCTGACTACTCCGCTTCCCTCTGCACACATTCCCGAGCAAATTCCTCTAATTAAGCTGGCTAATTAATTCTCATTTACTAATGGTATTCCTATCAAAAAGCATGACTAGTCTGAGGGGTGAAGTGTGCCATCAACTGCCGTATTGTGAGGTGAAAATTAAGTTTTCCAGCCAGGACGTGTGAAATGATTAACAGTTCTGCATCTCATTAGAAAGCAACGCGCACTAAAAATAGTGCTCAGCACGATATGATACCCAAGGAACTGGCAGCTTAAAAAAATCACTCACTTTTATGTTGATATTAATTATGTGCATCAGGAACTCAAATAATGATTTGTTGGACAGCTTTTAATAATATATATTTCTAGAGTCTCGCTGCTGCCGCTCAGTCCAGAAAATTAATCTCTGATGATTCCACCATCTAGGAATATGCTTTCTTCTTTTACAGAAATCCCAAAATGAAACTCTAATTAGGTTTTCCAAGACAAAGGAATGACCCTCCAAAGTGTCAGCTGGTGGATCTATTTAAAATTAAATCTGGATATCTTTTAATTACACTGTTTTTTTTAGTCTTCTTAGATTAGAGGAAGGAGAAGGTAAAAGAAATGCTTCAAAGTGTGGATAATTAATTCATGTCAAAAAACAAAAGCGAAAAGCTCTTCATTATACTCGGAGAAAAGCGCCCTCCATTTATATGTAGATGTAATATCTGCCCTGTCAAGCCTCATTTAAATTTTGATAATGAGGTTGGCAGATTTCCCTGAACTGTAATGGATATTGTTTATTCTTGGTCTATATTAGAGCGAGCCACAATAGCCTTCAAATACACACACAGACTTTTAGCTCTTTACCCCGGCTGAGCCAATCTGGAGTATGTAAGCAGTGCTGTGTATAAGGGATGACTAATGTCTTGTTGTGTGACTCAGGGTCTGCCTGTACGCCGAGGTCAAGAGAGTGCATTGTAACTGTATTCACAGGGGTCAGGAAGGTCACCCCCCCCCCTCCGTCTACCACAGTGGCCTCTGACCCCAAAGATGCAGAGTGGGGCCATACTGGCTCAGACAGAGAGAGGATCACTTTACAGCTGGACGCCAATCTTAAACCCACTGACATCACAGAGGGAACCAGAACCTTTCCCATGGATTTATGGATATAAATCAACTCCTTGCCCTGTCCTCGCCTATAGCACACAGCGGTGTCCTCTTACATGGTCTCACTCTAAGTCTTCCACTCTGCCAGGGGAAATCCCATTCCTGGCATTAGTTCTGCTACATGTCCCTCTTTTCCCTTGGTAATTACAGCAGTCAAGAGTGTGAGTCTGTGGAAGGGCTTTGAAAATCAACTAATGGCTCCACGGGTTGAAAATACATGATTACTTGTCCATTGTGTTTGATAAGATGGTAAATATGGCGAAACCTGAGGTGAAAGACTCAAGTCAAGAAGTGAAATTGCCTCAAATTAGTTTGATTTTTCAATTCATGTAGGACTGTGGAGAACAGCCAGGCAGAGGGACATCTGGGATGGTTATGAGTATGTTGACAAGAGGAAATGGGGGTCACAGCGAATGGCAATTACGCATGCAGAAGGCAGTTTAGCACAATTAAAACTAATGAGCCTTCAGCCCTAAAAACCTGCACAAGAATTAGTGATTTTCTGCCACATGTAATCCAGATGGAAAAGTGCAGTCATTACCGAGCTACACTACCTAAAGTCATATTGTACAGGGCTTCTAAAAGATGTGAGCTCTCTTAGTAAGTCACCACTGACTGATGAAGTGTAAGCGGACACTTTCACTAAATCATAATTTGCCCTTCTTAACCACTACTAAGATGTAAAGACGATCCAAAATAGATTACTGGTAATATTCTTTGCAAGATAAATATGTCTTTTGCCATCAGTTATGTACAAAATGCCTGGTTAGTTATTTTTTTAAATTCCTTTCTAAAATTTCAGGGCAAAAAATGCTACTGATTTAGTGAGCGCATACACACTTCACCACTCAACTTTTCTTTTATAAAGTGAGATAGACAGACAGACCACATTAAGGGGAGTGGATGGATGGATGGATGGATGGATGGATGGATGAAGCGGCTGATGGAAAGGGGGTTGGGGTTGATGGGGAAAGACGCCGGACAATGTGAACACCAACACCCACCATGGTGGTGCTGGTCACAGCTCGTCTGTCCCGGCGAGGGCTGAGCTGTCTGGGAGGGAGACTCCAGCTCCTCCACCAGGGGAGGGCTGGTGTTGAGCTGCCCGACAGGAGGGGGCCACGGTAGGTCCTTGATCACTTTAATCTCTACTGCAAGTGTCGCCCGAGTCACCAGAGGAGAGATGAAGGGGAGTAGAGGACAGCAACAAGAGGCATAAAAACAACAACGACCAAGGGAGTGAGGAAAGGGGAAACAACGACAGGAAACAGAGAGGAAAAGGAGAAAAGGAAGAAGGGGTAAGTGGAAATAGATTAGGAAAGAAGATGCCAGCATTGTGGTGAGGAGCTGGTTTATATTGTGATCCAAGAATCAGCAGTAACTGTGGACTAGAAAAGGAAAGGAATGCAACAGGACTGAAAGGAAGTGAAGTTAGTTTTACAGTAAGTAGGGTTGGGTTCTGATAGCAGGTGCCATATTGGATTTCATTCCGGGTTGATTACAATACCTGGATTTCTGAAGAACTATGGTTCATGGTCAAAGGTTAACTAAAAAGTTGAACTTCTAAAAAGTTGAACTTCAATAGGGATTTGGAGGAACTCAGTAACCTAATTACATAGCAAATTCAGGTTCTTTAAAAATGCTATTAAACCCCAACCCTACCTAAAAAGTTGAGCCCTTTGGCCTCTCTTCCTTGCTCCGTTAGCTTTCACTCAAAAATTCAGATTGGAAATTTGACTCACTATCTTAAGCCTCACTACTCTAGATACATGGCAATACAATGGCGATAATACTTTACTAAAGAAGAACGCCCATATAATACAATGCTGCGCCTTGAAAATGGAGACCATGAAACTGCCTGGAGCTCGGCTACAGATACTTAGATCAGACCATCAGCATACACTCTGCTGTTACTTTTAGTGCAGAGTTTGGAAAAAAAACTCTCCTTAGGCATCTATATTAAGATAAACAACGATGCAGACAATATCCCTCAGTGGAATGTGCCTCGGAGCGATCCATCCTCACAGCGGACACTCCCCGGGCTTTGCCCCTTAAATAATGTATGCCTCATGTCCAGCCAGGGTATTACCAAGGTAAATTGAGCACCCCTGCAAAAACATATCTGTCACTGAGCGAGTGCCACTTGTTAAATAGCTGAGGATATGATATAAATGGAATGGAGAGGGGGAGGATTTTGTTCATCTAAAAGAAAGCTAGAGTTAGAGAAATGCAGTCCAGCAACTTTGGAGAGCCAGTGTGTGTTGTTAAGAGTGTTATGTATAATTCTATGACTCTTTTTTTTTTTTTCATAAATCTTCAAACACAGATCTTCCACTGAGGCAACTCACAGTGCTATTAAGAACATTTTGATGTCACTGTCCATGGTGCTGGAGATGTTACTGCAGTAGATGAAAGTAAGTACAAGGAACTAAAATTAGTGTAATTTCATCAGTCCAGTTGCTACTTATGGTAGACAATGCCCTTCACATCAGTCACAGCTCTTAGAAGTTCCCTAAAGGTGCAGAAAAAACAAATAATGCAGGTGTTGCTCCTTGAAGGAGCCCAAAAAGTAACTCCCATTGACAAGCAAAAGCCAACAGACACACAACTACATATAAATACAAGAACAAAATAGGAAAAGATACAGGGCGATAAAGCGTGCCCCCCATGTTGGCTGAGTCCTTGGCAGCGGCCCAGATTCGATTCTGACTGGTGGCCCTTTGCTGCGTGTCATCCCCTCTTTCCCCTCCCCCCCTTTCCTGTCATTCTTCAGCTGCTATATTGAATAACAAAAGTAATACATGCCCTAAAAGATTCAAATTCAATAAAATACCAAGAAAACTTGACCCAAACTAAACTCCAAACTTTAGACGAAGTAAAGGCCCAAAACACATCTTTTTCCATTACATTACATTGCCGATTGATGAATAAGATTGGAATGGGACAACCAAAAAAAGCTTTCAGTACAGTTCTATTTATTATTGGGCTGAGCCATACTGCACTTCATCAGTCATGGAGAGGCGGTGATGGCCTTGTGTGACTCAGGAGGATGTGGCCGAAGAGGAGGAGAATAGCAACAGATTGGCAGTAAAGTAAATCAGACAGCAGATAATTAATACAGGACCACGTTCAGGACATACCAATAAGATATTGGTAATGCTTTTGTCTTGAATGAACTTGGGACTTGTTTCTGTAGTTTTGGCCATCATTGCATTGGTTATAGTAACACTTACGCCACAATAATTACCCTCAGCACAATAATTACCCTCAGCAGAAAATTTTAACTTTTAATTGAAGGCTCAAGATTGCTAATAATCAGTATTTACACAGAGTATTACTTGAATGGCAGCAATTAGTTAGAGGCACTTTCTGAATCAGAGTAACACCCCTCATTTAAAGAGAGTTCACTGAGTGCTACTTCAGCTAAGAGGAAAAGAATGCAGCTTATTCTTAACCATTAATGTGTCACTGTGTTGCAGTGGCTGGTGCACAGGCTGCTTTTCAGTGGGAGGATGAGCATAATGGTATGGACTTGTCTGTCTTTCACAGTGCAAGGAATTGCGGCGGCTGTGGTACAGGACATGCTAATGAGAAGCAATATCTGCGGGCTAGATAAAGGGGGAAACTGGAGAATATTCAATCCGACAAGCAATTAAATAGCTGGGCCCACGGTGTCAGGGGGCTAATCTAGAGAAAGGTGGCTGGAAGGAGGAGCCGCTCACCGTCTCCCCCGATGGGAGAGATGCTGGGGTGGTGGACCGGTGGGGCTGGAGGGTGGGGAATAGAGACAGAAGGTCAGAAACTCTGGGAGATAATATAACTTCCACTACTTTGGGGTGAAGTAGGGGACTCTCTTCCTGTGAGATTAAAAGCCTAATACTCATTTCACATTGCAGATTAGCGTGTAATTGTTTGGGGAGCAGAAGGCTGCCTCCACTCTGCAGCCTCAGTGCGAGGACGAGGAGACGATTTGGGCAAGTGTGGCTCGGATTCGCTTGGTTGCACGGCTGAATAATAGCATTTAGCACTGAGAAAATTAAGGCAGGCTGATTCAATAGCCAGGTGTTTTGTTTTGTTTTTTTGTACACTCTGGATGACTGGAATCTCCCTCAGCTTGTAATGCATTTAAAAATACTGCAAGCCCCGAGGCCTTGAGTAATCACTGACTCTAGATGCCAGGTTGCTGCATGGATAAGAGCATCTTTTCACCTTGTAGCATTCTTCACTGACAAATTCAAATTCAGGACTGAAGTGACAACAGCAGCACCAGCACACTGGTGATTTACACTCAAGCCTGAAGGCTCACCACATAAACCTGTTTAGAGCTGTATTGGCTGATGCAGATTTGCACTGATTATCTGTAAGTGGTACATGTGTGAACAAGTGTTTTAGAGACTGGAGGGGAATATTTGGTAGAAATGTGACTGTCTTTTTGTTTGTTGGTTATTATTTAAAGAATACTTCACCAAAAAATGACCATTTGTATCAATTACTCACAGCATGTTACATTAAATTCTTAAGAAAACAGTTTTTCTTACACGCCTCCACAATTAATGGAGAATCCAAAAAAAGCTGACATTCTTGATGAACTGAAGTCAATGGGGGCCATGATTAACAACAGCAAAACTATATCAAAACATCTGTTTGCAAACTCTCACACAACTCCTAGCCAAGCCTAATTTATCCAGTATTGCTCAGTACGTCCCAAACACATGCATTTTTGCTGAAACATTACAATATAAAATACTTCACCTGTGAGTAGTGCACCCTGAGCATGCTTGAGCACAGGCTTGCTATGAGCTCCACATGAGTGTTCTTACTGACATGTTTTAAATTGTAAATGCACAAGTTTGGGAAGAGTAATTAATACACAAACGGTCAAAGTTGGTAGTTCTGCTAATTGTAAAGCACTTAAAACAAAGCCTGTGTGGCTGAACACAGAAAGTCGCTGTGTCTGAGGGAAAATACACATCCAAAGATTGCTACATCTCATCTGACTACATTTGGATCAATATGCCACGTCTCATTTGCATAATCCTTGATCAATATTAGTACACAAGGCCTACTGTTGACATAGGAATAGAGCCTCTGAAATATTCTAGATCGACAAAGGACATGTCATTCAAGTTAATTACACAACAGTGGCCATGGCAGGACTTGTCTGGACTGGACACCAGGCTGAGCACCATTTCGGGGTTGGACATCAGTAGGCTGTGCTGTAGAGTGCTGTAAACACTGCTGCTGATTTATTATTTGTTTCACAGCCTGACGCTGACTACACTTCATCAAAGGAACCAGAGACCACTTGAACAATGGACAAGGGTCCCTTTTTTCTGCGTTTACCCTCCCTTTGTTCTTCTAGGAGCAGATCTATTTTTAAAGCCAGGTATTTGTTTACCCAGGCTTTTCATTAGCCCATGGCACTTCATCACTGTAAACAGTGCAGCACCATAAATCACCAGCTATGCTTGTTTCCACCAACGCCATTTAATTTAGTTCTGCTTAATTTGGTTGGCTAATTGCATGCATATTCAAAACAAGCTGGAAGATTGCGATGTTTATGCTGCACATTATGAGCAGAAGAGCCTGGAAAACAAAAACCAGACACTTCTGAAGATGTGTTTGTTCCATCGGCACCCAAATCATTACAGATAACAACTGTGTAATGCTCCGGAGGAAGTGAAATGCCACCTCATAATTCTCGGCATACTGTATCTGTCACATTATACGGTCTGGCTCTCTCTCAAAGCAGTTCTGAAAGACGGTGTGTTTTCATTAAAAATGAAAGTGGCAGGGCATTTTCCTGTGCTCTCCAGGAGACAGAAGGAAGAGATGCGTTAGTGATGGCCGGCCAGCAGCTTCCAGGGAAGCTTGCTGGAAGGAGCGCTGCTTCTATACTTTGTGAGGGAGGTTTACAGTGCTGTTGTGTGTGGCCAATGTGTGTGAGTGGAGATAAGACCTGTGGCAGCGCTCAGTGAAAAGAGGGCAAGACACATTTGAGGCTCATGAAAAAGGGCTGTCAGGAAGGTTATCAGCAGGGTGTTGCAGCAGAGGCCAGGGAAGACGAGACAGAGCTGAGAATTGACAGACAGCGTGAGGGAAACCGGATCAGCCAAGCAGAGAGAAACACAACCATGGCACCCACAAAACA